GCCGATTGAAAAAGCATTGGTTAAAGCTTGTAATGGGAAAGTTAAAGAGTGGCCACGGCTTTTGTCATTTGCATTACGGGCTGATCGAACAACACATAGTTCGGTGACAAGATATATGCCAGTAGAACTTATGACAGGTCAAAAACCAATTATGCCAATTGAAGAAAAGGTACTTACTTGGAGTATGCTACCATGGGAAGATGGATTGATAAGAGAAGAACTTCTGGCTATTAGGATTCGACAATTGGAGCAAAAAACGGAAGATGTCCAGATAGCATTGGAAAGATTAAAAAGAGCAAGGTTACAAAACAAGGCGCGATTCGATAAGCAACATCGATTGAGACCAAAAGTAATCGAAGAAGGTGACTGGGTACTTGTTTATGACAATAGTCTGGATAATCAACATAGTACTTTGCGGAAATTTTCAAAACGTTGGTTTAGACCATATGTTATAACAACTGTTCCTGATAATGCGACTTACTCATTACGGGAGTTAGATGGTACAAAATTGAAAATACCAATTGCAGGGAAGCGAGTAAAAATATTTAAACGAAGACACGCAGAGATGAATATGGAAGACCTTAATGAAGGTACAGAGATTCTGCAGCAAGAAGATGAAAGTGATTTGGATAATGAAGGTGACGAAGACGAACTGGACAAAGACATAGGGGATATATTTTGAATCAAACAGCAATTGGATAAATTGGTGCATAGCGGAGGATGCACAGATTCAGAGGGGGTGGATGTCGTGTTGTAACACGAGTATACAGTGAAAATAAAAAGAAAGGAGAATTTTATTAATATTCAGTTACCTCGAATATTGGGAACATCGACCAACCCCAGTACAAATACTGAGTGGTCAGGTTCAGTGACTCCGTTACAGTCAGCCGGGGCATACTGAAATGCCCCGTTCGATTCCAATAACGGGAGTCAGCAGGAAGAGAAGGACCAATTCACACGACGGGTTCGAGGAGCCAATTGGATCCAATTTTGATAATCCAATCCGGGTCCTCTTACCCAATATGAGACCTGTATTGGTGGGGCAACCCAATGCAGTCTAGTTACGGGAAATCCAGGTCTTACTACGGGTCTTAACCAATCTGACGCGAGGACCAATTTGACTCAATTACGGCAACATCCAGGTTACTACGGGCATCTTTACCAATATAGGACCTGAATTGGTCGGGCGACTCAATGTGGTCCCGATTACGGGGTTCGATTCTGTTTCAGGCTGTCCTATTCTCTGTGCCGTCTCAGGGAACGTTGTTTTCGGTAAATGGATTTCTTAAAGGTAAAAACGGAGGAGAAAGCACATTCGAATCCCAGTTGAGGTGAGAGCCAATTTCGGATCCAAGCTTGAGGTGGGAGCCAATTCCGGATCTAAGACGGAAGATTGAAGAAATTCAGAGGATAAGGTTAGGGGGGATATTGTTTTGGAGTGGTGTGGATTTCTTTTTTTTTTAAGAGGAAATTGGGGGGGGGGAGCGAGTTTTTTTCAAGCTTCTGCAAGGTTAACAGTTCGGTTTTTTTTATTGGAGGTTTTTGAAGATCAAGGGAATTAGAGAGAGGAGCTTCATGCTTCGGGTCGGGGAAGGAAAGACATAGAATTTGGATTTTTCTTCTTCGTAGAGTTTTGGGGAAGACTGAGGCAATCGCTGCTGAAGTCAGTGTTGTAATGGTGAATCGGGATTTTTAAATGAAGTGGGTTTGAATACTCTTGACTGTTTTGTGAAATCGAGTTACGTTTGTGATTGAAGGATTAAAAGGGTGTCTATAGGATTGAGTATGCGGAGTGAATGAAATTTATTGGGTTAATCTAACAAGACAGTCAGTGGATACAAGATCGTAAGTACAAAGCAGTATTGAAGGTTAACAGTTTGGGTTGTACAGGGTTCTCTGTAACGTCTAGAGACCTACCGGCTGGGGCAAAAAGGACTTCGACAAGCAGTCGAAGAGCACCCGTATAGATTTACGGTACATTGTAACAGTCGTTTATATTCCAGCAGTCAAAAACTGATAGACTGCTTGACTATCGGCGAATCTCCATACTACCTTCTACAGCTAGACGCCCGGCGCGTTCTCGAGCAGGAAAGCACGTAATACGACAGCGGATCGGAAAGAGATAATAACAAATCCTTCATATCATCTCTTAAGCCCCAATAAAATTGACTCATCAATGCTTCCTTGTTCCAAATGATGTTGTATGCTAATTGCCTAAAATCTGATGTGTAGACTGACATGGAGCGTACTTCTTGTCGTAGTCACCAAATCTTTGTTGTAGTCCATTGCACCTTATCATTTTTGCCAAATGCTTCTGTAAATGCCTCCAAAAAAGTTTTGAAGTTGTTCAAAATTGATGATCCTTTCTCAAACAAAGGAACAAACCATGATAGAGCTTGCCTTGTGAGCAAAGTTCCAACCAGTCCAACACGTGATTCCTTCTTTGAATAGCATTTGAGCTGTAAAGCTGTTATCAATTTAATTTCATTGACAAAACCTCGAAACTTAGAATGTGTACCATCAAACTTCTTTGGAAGGTTAATTTGGGGCTCCTTTCGTTGTAAGACCAATGGTCTTTGTTGAACTAGAGGCAAAATTGCTTCTCTTGGTGCTGAAGCTTGAGGCTCGTGAATCGTCGATTGTGCCATCCCGGATGCTCCATCATTATGAAGTCTTGTAATGATTCCTTCAATCTTTGCAGTTCTCTGTGATAATGAGCAAGAGCATTCATAATGGCATCCAACTAGGACTCCGAACTTTTATACATATTAATATCTTGACCTCCGGCTATTCTAAAAGAAGGAAAGAAATGACTCTACAAGAAGGCAGTATTGGTTTAGAGGAGGATACTCCACAACCTCTAAAATACCTTAAAACCTTCAAGAAGAGGGGTAATCCATTCTCTCCAAGAAAAATAAGACTCCAATATTATAATAAAAGAAATATTAGTTTAGAAGAAGGTAATCCGCAACCTCTAAAATGCCAGCACCTTCAAGCAGAGGGATAATCTACACTCTAATAAGAAGGAATTAGCTCTCGTATGAAAGATGAGTGCAGTCTCGATAAATTGTCACAAATTTAGAATACTGACTGAAAATCTAAATAAGAAGCTTAAGAAGAATCGGCAAGAACTAGATTAATCAGATGAGTACAAGAACAACACTAAAGAGGTGAGTTAGAGCTCCAAGAGATGTGTTGTCGAGACTGAGGATCCCCTCAATCTCGGCTCCTATATATACTACAAGCTAGAAAGCTTCTCAAGTAGCTTCCATAAACTAGGAAGCTTATCAAGCAGCTTCCACGAGCTTGAAAAATTCTCAAGTAGCTTCTACAAACTACAAAGCTTCTTTAGAACCTTCTAGAATCTTCTACAACTTTCTAGTGTATGTCCTGGAGAGAGATTTCTTTTAGATTTAATTAAAAAATGATTAGTATTTTTATAATTTAATTGAAGTTTATTTAAGATTCTATTTAAATTATCAATGTCATTTTATTGCAAGTTCTATTTTTTCTTCATATTATTTATCTCACATACTCATTACAACTTTTGGAAGGTCAATCTTCAAAATTATTGCTAGTATTCACAAATCCATCTACTTGAATTCTACAAAATGATTATATAGAAAAAATGTCTATATTGAATGAATAGAAGTATTAGATTATAGGACATTTTTTTTCATAAATATTTTTGCAAGACATGTGGATCTTTTTTATTGCAATAATCAAATACAATCATTATATATAATATAATAGAAACATACATTTCTTATTATAGTAGATACACTCAAAAAATAACATTAAGTATATATGTTATACATTTGAGGTTTATCAATTTTAGAATGTAATAAATAGTATTGGCTTTGAATATGTCTATCTTAAGTGAGGTTAAAATAGAAACTAGAGAATTAAATTAGAAGAATATTTTTGCTATTTGTATCAATTTTAAAATTTTAAATTTAACTTATTATATATGATTTTTTATAAATATTTACACTTATAGCTTGATATTCTATAAAATCATAGAAATATAGTTTTTCTTAAAATAGAAATAAATATCTCTAAGAAAAATATAAGGGATCTTTTACCTATACAAAATATATACATGAATATATAATAAAATCAAGAAAGATTAAACAAATCACTTAAAATTAAATGTATCTAAAATGAATCCAAAATCTTAATTTTCATCCCTATAACTAATATTTGTAGTGCAACCTCAATTTAAAGTAAAAAAAATACTTAAGACTTCTTTCACTTTACATGATCCCATTTTAGTATTACATTGTGCTACTGTTGATTGATAAGATGTTTTAAGTCATCTATGAAGTTATATAATTTATATAAGCATTATAACAATCTATTAAATTATTATTATTATCAATATTATTATCTTTTGAATATAAAATATAATAATTTTTAATGCAGATAAATCTCTAAAGGCCTATTTATACTAAATTTTTGAAAGCTACAATTAAAACAATTAAAAGTTTGCATCTATTGAAAATAAAATTAATAGTTTATTTCATTCTATTTTAAATAAAATAGAGAATATAGCTTTGGAATTTTTATGTGAATAAGAAATTCATTTGAAGTTTTAAATGGTAGATTTAAATAAAAAAATCTTGTATTTTAAGAATTTTAAGAATTTTTACATTAAAAAAAATAAATTTCAAAAGATTGGGAATTTATTGCATTCCATTATTTAGTCAATATTTTTATATTTGATTAAATTCTAATAACTATTATCATTATGTTTCTACTTTAAAAATATTCCTTACAAAATCAAATCAATCCAAGTGTAGATTGGAATATAATCCATCTATTAAAATTTGCATTGTCAATACAAATTACAATCTTCTTTAGTTGATGAAAATCACTCCATTTCTCATCCACTAAATGTAAGCCCATTTTTGAAAATGAAGTAGATCTCAGGTACCAAATAACCAAAAAAGAAAAAAGAATTGTAAAAGAAGAAGGAAGAAGAAGAAGAAGCCCCAACAAATGTTCAACCACCAATGTTAAAATAAATATATTACACCATAGTTCTAAAGTGAATCCTTCACGTGCTATGAGATTGCAGTGCACTAAAACCTATCTACATTATATGAACATTCTATTCTCTAGTATGAGGTTACCTAACATCCATTTTTCATTCATATCCATACTAAATTCACATTTGTCTAATGTCCTTAAATATTTAACATCAATAATTCTGTATGAATTAAAATAATACAGAATGCTCCGGATGCTGCGCGGGTAAGGGATACCTGATTTGAGAAACTTCTTCACGAGCCTTCTGTACAGTCCACCAGCTGCTTCAAGTGCCGCTCCAAAAGTTCTCTCTTGAAGACCCTCAACGGCTGCCAACCGCTGATTTATTTCCCGAATTAGTGTTTCGTATAGATTCGCCAAAAAGGTCAAAGGCAGCAAGTACCGATGGCCCCCTTCGTACTGAACATCCCTAGATTTTCGCTTCGTCAACTTATCCTTCCCGTTCGAGCTGTAAGAGTGGGCTTCATGTGCCTCCGCAGCCGAGATAATGTGATACTTTATGAAGTAATCAATAATAAGCTGCAAGAAGCGAGCTCTTGTTGATTCGATGGGACTGACGTCTGGTCACAGCAACTAGAGGTGTTAATTCATCTCATGAAGAAACTAGCTTTGATTCACAAGAGGACTTGTATCTTATGATGGGTAGATATAGCGTGAATCGGATTCGCTTAGTGATGACGGTGGAGAAACCAAAGCAAGTTAATGATTATACTTTGTTAGGATTGATGCGAAAAATTCACAATTCAGGCTGTAAGTTCCAGATTGAAACAATGGGATCCAACATCAAAGCACGCAAAAGTATTGAACAAGTAAAAGAACAAGACTCACCATTTAATGTAAGCACTCCATAAGGTGAACGAGACTCCTCGCTGTCCACAGTCATGGAGTGCTCCGGATTCTGCCCGCCCACTCTTCGCAGTGCAAGGTTGCCATAGTCCTGCACCCCGCAATCCTGTCGTTCAGCGCATCACTACAATTGTCCAAAGCTAGCCTAACAAACCAGCAGATTCCAGAACATGAGCAAGGACTTTGACGATGCAACAAAAATGAGATGAACAAAAGGAGAGAGTGCAACTCAGAGAATCGGACACCAACTTAGTAATGTGTTCGAATGGGTCGAAGAAGGACATACCCCGGCAGATGTTGAACCATCATCATTGTCCAGTTCATCCCCTTCAGCTACATCCCTATCCATGTCCTTCATTCCATGAATATCAGGGCCCATGGAATCCGTCTAATCTTGAAGAGAGAATTCCCTGCCATGCTCTCCCCATTCAGGTAGTAATCTGGAGTGCCCAACTCCATTTTTTCTAGGGCTTCTCACGCTGTGCTACATAACAATCAATCAATCAAACCCCTGAACTCGACATTAGCATCGCCCGACAATTGTGCGGAAATGGGAAAATTCCCAACACGGTAAGAGTGATCATGGGTAAAACAACAGCAAATTCTTCTTCATCTTCTATCCTCCGATTATGGGCGGAAACGCAGTTCCGAGCATCCCATGCACTCCAAAAATAAAGGAAAATTATGAGGTCACGTACAATTCTTGTCCTCTCGTCGTCACGGAGGTTCACACACCCAAACACCCACATTGTAAAGGAGGACGATGAGGACGAGGACAAGGAGGAATGCAGAGCTCCCGCAGCATTACCATGCATGATGATACATTCTCCGCCATAGCCCCACTCTCCCCCAGCTCCCTTACATGCAGAGACTTCATGAAGTGCAAAACAAGGAAGAAGTGTAATGTGTGCAAACAAACAATGAGATTGTTGGTGAATACTGCAATGGACACACAATTTGACCATTTGCATCTTATTAGTCTCATTCAATGAAATATGACCTCAGCCATATTACTCACTGAATGTTAGTAAATAGAATTTTGCACCATGTGAAAACCATTGATTTAAAGTTAGATGTAAGAATTAAGCAACCAAATAGGGTGGGGGGGTGTTATAATGCAAATTCACACAAAACATAAATAGTATGTAAATATAAATATATATGTAGACATGAAGTTGATTTACAAAATGGAAAATATAGGATTCTTTTAAGATACAATAATAAAGACAATGAGTGATGATCAAGAATACATGTCACTTCCAAAGAATCTTTATTGCTATTCAAAGACAAAGCACATTGTCACACAATATTACATAATTGCAAGTTGGAAAGTAGAATGTAATATGGTCAAAAACTTGTTTAATTATTTCATTTAGATTGTTGAATGAAAATTATTTGTTAATAGAATATGTAACTCCTATTAGATATAAAGTAGAATGGACGGTTGACACCACTTTGCCAATTGATAAGTTGTAGCCACCATTTATTGGTGGTAATACCATTTAGCCACCATAGCCTACCAAGCCATCATACAACCTAATAAGATGAGTATCCACATGTTAATTGGATATTGTTGACTAGGCTAATTATTTGTGTGTTTACACTAGAAAGTCCATGTGGTTAGACCATGGACTTGTACTATAAGGAGTATAAGTAGAGGTTTAATTTAAGCATTTGTTTTTTTGAATCCTTGATAGTAAAGTAGAGAACTCTTTTGTATTTACTTCATAAAACTTCAATCTTAGCAATATACTTCTTCTTTATTTTCTCACATAGTATCAGAGCCTTGGTACTCTAGATTTATTCTTTGATGGGTTTGAGTGAATCAATTGAGGTTGTTTTGCTAGATTTGATCTTTCAATCAACTTTCAAGAGGTTTTATTTTTTGCATTAGCTTGAGAAGAGTTGAACCTCTAATGAGCCTAGAACTCAAGCCACTAATGTTTTTGGTAGCTTATAATTGAAACAATAAGGCATTAATTTTAAAGGAGAAAGAGTATTTTTAAATTTCAATACTACAAGCAATAGGTGCTAAAGCTTGCAGCTACTAATCTAATTAAACTATCAATGGAGTCTACTAATAGCGATAGGACGTGATAGTAAAAGCAAGACTTGGCAACAACAACAATGGAACCTAGTAGCAGTGGCAAGATCTGGCAATGAAAGCAAGGCCAGTACAATCCAAAGAACTCCAACAAGACCAAAGAGCTCCAAATTTGATTTTTTTCAAGTTTTTGGACATAGTTTCATGTAGAAAGCTGTTGAAATCATAATTTTTGGATTTTTGAATTAATTTTTTAAAAAAATGCTAATGATACAATTTTACACATTCTAAAAATATTTAATTTTTTAAAAAATATCTTTAATATTTTTTATTAATATTCAAAAAGTCTATAAGTATATATGAAATCTTACTTAGATCTCATTTTTATTTACTTTCTATTTTTTCTTTTATTTCTCTAATTTCTTCTATTTAGGACATATTTCTTGCAAGATGGCAATGAAGTGCCATATTATAGAGAAATTTGATGGAGACAATTGGCACTTGTGGAAGGAAAAAATCCGGTTTGTCTTCATTGACAAGGATTTATAGAAGGTTGTTTGTAGAAAATATAAGAAATCTACTAGGTTACTTATAGATCCAAAAGAATTAAAAAAAAATTGGATAATATAAACTAGAGGGCATTATCTGTAATTTTCCTACATCTTACAAGTACAAAATTTCTAATAGCAAGTAAGGCAAAAAGCGCACAAGCAATATGCCAAGGTCTTGAAGCAATATATGTGGTAAAAAATACTTTGAGCCTATCATACTTAATTTGCAAGTTTTGGACCATACAAATGAGTAAAGATGATAACATTGACACATACATAGGCATGCTAGGCATTGCTTGGCATTGGCTCTAGAAAAAAAATCCATGTCACATTCTTATATTCATACTCATACAAGGTTTTCACATGATTATAAGAAGGATGTCAAATGCAGATATTGTGGCAAGAAAGATCATTATGAGAGAGTATATCAAATCAAGGAAAAAGACATGAAGTCATGAAAGTTTAAAAAATTAAAAAAAAATAGACTAATATAAAAGACAAGAAAGATCAAAAGGATGATGAATTTGTCTTTATAGCTACATTATCTCTTAGTATAAGTGACAAAGAATGGTACATCAATTTTGGTGCTTTTTAGGACATGATAGGAAATTAAAGTTGGTTTTTAAGTTACAAAAACCTATCACAAGGCCCTAAAGTCTATTTAGGCAATGATATTGGACTTGTCATCAAAGGAAAGAATAAGATTTCTTTCCAATTTCCAAACAACATTCGCAAGGATATACATGATATCTTGCATGTTGAAGGATTAGTCAAGAATTTTTTTTTCATTAACAAAATGACAAGTCAAGGTTACAAAGTCGATTTTAATGGTGATATATGTTTCATGAAATAAGACAACACAATCATCAAAGGTATTAGACATGGTAGATTGTATAAAATATTGGAATCTTTAGATGAAGTTAAAAAGACTTCTCTTGTTATTGAGACAAAACACACTTTGAAAAAGGCTGATTTCTAGCATTAATGATATGTTCATCTTAGTATTTGGGCTTAAAGAAATTATAAGCAAGTGATATGGTCACTCATTTGGACATAGATAAGGACATAAAGTTGGATTTTTGTAAGGGATGTGCTTGTAGAAAACAACATTGTGATGCTTTTTCAACAAAAGGTGGTATTTTTGCAATAAAACTCTTAGAATTGATACATTTTGATGTAAATAGTCATATGAGGACAATATCTCATCAAGGAGCAAAAGAATTTGATACTTTTATTGATGATTTTTTTAAAAAAACTTTTGTATATTTCATGAAACAAAAGTCTAAAGTCTTGGATAACTTTAGGATTTTTAAGGCCATAGTTGAGAAACAAATAGGCTTGAAGATTCAAAAATTGTATAGTAACAATGGTGGGCACTACACATCTAAGGCCTTCAAACAATTTTGTGAGCAACATGGCATTGAAAGACAATTTTCAATGCTTTATATGCCTCAACAAAATGGAGATGCAAAATACAAGAATCGGATATTATTTAAGAATGTAAGGTGCAAGTTATAGCATAAACAACTTTTGAAATATTTAAACACAAGCTCAAACACTTTAAATCTACCTCCAATCCCACCTCTACTTCCACCTTCATTTGTAATGACGCATACAAGAGCTTGACTTTTGGTCCAACAATAAGTAACTAATGAATAAGCATTGGCTTGGATTCTTTTCAAATCATTCATATCTTCAAAGTGTATGGCACATGCTTTTCAGATAAGTATTGAAGAACTAGCTACTATTACTAAAGCTATGAAAAGAAATGATACTTAGAAGTGGAAAGAAGCAATGGATTGAGAGTACTAAAGTCTCATTGACAAGAAGACTTGGACTTTGACACCATTACCAGCAAACACAAAATCAATTGGTTGCAAATAGATTTTCAAAATCAAATATAATACAAATGGTTTAGTGGAGCACTATAAGGCAAGACTCATTGCAAAAGGTTGTGCGCAAAAAGAAGGCATTGATTACAATGAAACTTTTGTTCCAATGGAAAAAATGACCTCAATTTGTATACTTCTTGCACTAGTTGCAATTGAAGATTTGGAAGTTCATCAAATAGATGTCAAAGCAACATTCTTAAATGGAGATCTTGAAGAGGAGATACATATGGACCAATTAGAAGGCTATATATCAAAGTATGAAGAACAATTGATTCCTAAGGAGGTTGAAGCAATGAATGGAATTCCATACCAAAATGTAGTAGGCATTTTAGTCTATGCAATGATAAGCACTTGGGCCAATATTTCATATCCAATGGGAGTTGTTAGCTAATACATGGCAAATCCTAGTCCACAACATTGGATAGCAATGAAACACATTTTGTGATATCTTCAAGGCACATCAGATCATGTACTACAATATGGTAGAAGCTCTTTGAATTTGCAAGTGGTTGGTTATTGTAATGCAGACTATGCAAGAGATATTGATACACGATGTTCAACCACTAGTTAAACATTCTTGTTGGCTAATAGTGGAATTAGTTGGAATAGCAAGAAGCAATCAATAGTTGCATTATCTACCACCAAAGTAGAGTACATAGTAGCTAATCATGCTACAAAGAAGACAATTTGGCTTCAAAGGTTTTTTAAAGACATTGGGTTTTCACAAGACAATCTTTTGATTATTTTTAGTGATAATCAAAGCTATATTTTTCTTTTAAAGAATCCTACATTCTACACTCGTATTAAGTATGTTGAAATTTAGCATCACTTTGTTCTTGAGAAGATTGAAAGTGGCAACATCAACTTAGTTTTTTGCGAGAGTCAAGTCATGATTACAGATATTTTGACCAAAGATCTAACTCGTGAGAAACATTAAAAATTCAAGGAAATGATGGGCATCATCAAATTGAGTTAGTCTAATATGTTATTAAGTGAAAGTGTTAATAAAGTGTATAACCCCTATTAGACATAAAGTAGAATAGGCGGTTGACATTTCTTTATTGGTTGATAAGTTGTAGCCGCTATTTATTGGTGGTAATACCATTTAGCCACCGTAGCCTACCAAGCCATGTTACAACCTAATAAGACAAGTGTCTACATGTTAATTGGACATTGTTAACTAGGCTAGTTGTTTGTGTATTCACACTAGAAAATTCAATCTAAGATAGTGAATTTTTATAATCTAAGCTTATAAAATAAAATATGTTTATATACATGTATGTTAACATATTTGAAAATACTTAATATGATTTTGCTTATAGCAACAAGTCTCTTTTATAAAAAAAAAAAAAAAAAAAAAAAAAAACCCAAAATTGCTGATTGTGTTTACAAAGAATGAAGACAATTGGATACACTTAAATTTATTGTACATTGTACATGGTGTGTCTAATTTTTTTTGTGAAATGAAATGGTTTTCTTAACATCAAATTGAAAACTACACTTTTTTTGTTGCATCTTACAAAAGTAACTCGTTAGTAATTTTTTTGGTACAAGATGAATGAAATTGATGTTCTCTCTCTACTCTTGTTATCAGGAATTTTGAATACAGCGGCACAAAAACTTTAAGTGAAACTTATTTGGATTAAATTGTTATGTACAATACAATTGCGTCTACTTCATTATAGGGATCATTAAGAAACGTTACTTTTATTTCTACTCAAAAACCATACGGGTGGCACAGTCATGAATAGTGAATTCAAATTCAGTTGGTAAAAAGTGTGCAAACTCTTCGAAATTTACTTGCAAAATGAAATGCAAGGCTCGAATCAGGATAGAAGTTGAGATCTTCTTGGAATGGGCTTATTGCAAATTAAACTATACCAAAAATTCTATCTTTCAAATTGTAACTAAGAATCATTGTCATAAACTACAAACCCATTCAATTGTGACAGGCTTACTGTTAAATTGACTTCTAAAATTCGGATTCATCTACTAAACATATGTACAGCCATGCCAGATTTAAATAAAATGACTTAATATTCAGGGAACCGCAACGATTGTTAGGACTGAAAGAGGTGTAAAGCAAATGAACTGATAGATGATCTTCACAGCAGATAGGCATTCACTGGAAACTATACGTTGACGTGCCAGAGGTTTAAGAAAAATTGTGTTAAGAGCGTGGAGAAGCAGCAATATTCTTCAGGTTCATGAATCGGATTCAGATAATGTGAACACTGGGCAGCTTCAACAATTTCTAATATGGCTCAAACATAGAGAAAACACCAGTGGGCTCATCTAGTGCTGACACAGTTACACAGTGTAACATCATCGTTACAAAGGGGGTTCGCCACAGATTTTGTGGGATCCAGACCGTGTGCATTTTACAAGCGTCCTAAGCCAACTTAGGGCACAATAATTTCACCTACATAAACTATCAAGAACCTTTCTGAGTCGGTGTCTACACTGAACTGCAAACACAATAAAATAAGAGCAAAAGAATGTCTTTCTGAGAGAGGCACAACCAACATTTGAAACAATCATGGTCAGCAGCAAACCTCTACCGCATAAGGGACGAAAAAAATGGCATCTACTTACCCAGATATAAATCCAAATAACGATTTTGCGGCCGTGAGACAATTCAGTATTACCGATCATCCATCGTCAAACAAGCTAGATATATAGCACACTTAAAGTGAACCAAAATAGCACGTGCAGGGGTCATCACGACTGAGAAACCCTAGTTACGAAAGACGATGCATCAAGACCAGCAGATGCTGTATGCGCTTGAAGCGCAGAACTGATTTGCAGTAATACCTCATCGCATTTCCTCGGCAGATCTAGGTGGAATAATAAATAGTGATGCAGTTGAGATTCGATTACAGATTGCAACTAAATATTACCCTGGGGTTCCAGTCCACTAACGTACCACCAGACCGCCTAACCAAATCACGGTGTTCATGATTCCTAGATGGATTTCCAAACGAGCTCGAAACAAATAGCTATAAATTCCTAAGGATTCATAATAATCCATCGAATGGAAGAACATCCACCAACAGAAAACCTTTAAGCAAAAGTTCCTCATTAGATAGTTGACATGGCTGATCGTGAATATGCCACCTACCGAAACGACAAACCTCGCAACCTACATCTGGAAGTTGCCAGATACGTTTATAGTACCATCCCATCTGTCCAAAATTAATCCACACTACTGTAAGGCTGTCCAAACCTTCCCGAACCAAGCCTACTCCCGAAAGATAGTTAAAATGATGAAACAACTAAGCTAGTCCAATGAGCGCACAGTTCACTATCAGACACGACGCAATAACTGCCCAAAGAAGACCCTGATATTGCCCTACTTCATCGTTCCAAATCTCGCCATGCCCGTGAGAATCTCCATCCCGCGAAAAAAATATGCCAAGTCACTCTTGACCAAACCCATCCGAAAAACGCACATATATTCGTCCTCTTCCGCATCTCACACCGTCCGTTGTCTAAACGTAGACCAGCCATTACGCCATTCGTTTCACTTGAAACTATCAAACAATCATCACTTTAGCAGTCGCACCAAACAAACGAAGTTGTCGATTGTGTACACACGATCCCAACAAGTACGCCAGCATTTCACATCGGGCCGTCATCTCACATGAGAACATCACACGCACTGAACGTACGAGGGTCCAGAAGTCACCATTCCGCCTACTTCTTCAGTCCAATCTCGGGCGATTTATACACGACATAGGAATTAATTGCCCTATTGCATTCTGTGAAGAGATTAGCACGAGCAAGTAAACTCGAAAAAGAAACCTCGTAAAAGAGAAACATCGGCGATCCGGCAGCCATCAGTGCAACGACCCTTAATGCAACTGGCAGCTACGAGTAATCCGTGAACAAAGTTGTGCACACCCGCAAAGTCCAGTACAAGCGGACGAGTGCAGGAACACAGTCAAGAGATTGGGGTAATCGGACTGCAAAACCTTCACCGATGGCTCCGGAAAATGAGTGCACGATTCGTTGAGATCCTACGCCTATGTAATATGATGACGGGACACAACAAACCTGGGAGGAAAAAGTATGCCTGGTAAGCCGTTACCTGACAAATCACGTATCTCTCCTTCTATCGACGGCCTCCACCACCGCCTCGTGATCGATTGTTATAGTCATCCCCACGATCACGTCCGCCACCACCTCTATAAGGGTCATCCCGAGCAGGGCCTCGTGGTCCTGGATGCCGAGCGAAGGTCAGCCGCAGGGCATATGATTCGTGATCAGTTTCATCAAACTTGTACCCTGCACACGACACAAACGAAAGCTTCAAGTTTCCGTCACAAAATGACACATACAAAAGCCATCTCCACCATCGACAAAACGTAGGGCACGCTCCCAACACCATAAGTGAGAAGAGAACAAACCTCCCAACTCGAAGACATGATACTCCGACAAAGCAGAAATACATCACAGGTCAGGAGTGTTCCATCTACTCTTATTAAAAATACCATGCAATGGAACAATATCAAACTGGCAACTGATGATAGTTTGAGGTGAACGCGAAATGTCCTCCTAGTCCTAAGAGTATTCACGACACGAAATGCTACCTCGACTCTCGTGCTATTCTGCTCTCGTAGACTCTTAACTAATTGACTCCCAACTTTATGTCCGATAATGTAGCTCACTCATAAAACCCAGAAACAAAGACTCCCAATAACTTGTCATGTATCGGGCTTGTCACAAAACAGTCAACACAACCCTGACCAAGATGGACGAACGAAACCCCTAAACAGATGAACACTCATTGCACCTCAGACCAAGTAAACAAGAAAAACCTCAATCGTGCATACACTCCATGTTATAGACAGCAGAGAACGAACATACCATACACTTGGACTCTGACTATGCTCTTACCTTGCAATGCTTCTAGAGCAGTTGCTGCGCATCTTGCGTCTGCGAACTCCACAAAGCACAATACTACCTTGCCTCCATCCGCCTGTATCACCACGCCACACCTCATGACTTACACCGAACAATCCCTCCCACATCACTTCTCCACCAACTCATGCATCACTACACTTCTCCAACAACTGCTGCAAACACCTGGTTCATTACCAACTCACCCGCTTTGCATCCTTGTGAACCAACCGCACTTCCTTAAATCCAATAAATGGTCGAAAGATGTCTGCACCACCAGGTTAAGGACCCGACCACACATCTCCGCCTCTCCGACCTCCTGACCAAACTAACACGACCTCCTTCCTCATTACATGCCTCCTCCCACATTCCACACCTAACACGACACGCATACCTGACTCCTCTCTGCATACACAAATCCGATCCTACTCGCTTTACAGGAACCACATGGGAACCCTTGCAACTCCCACGGACCCAGAACTTTCTCTGTCACAGGATACGTGCAGCTTCTCTGCGGGAGCAGTCCTCGGGTAGCCCGTCCACAAACAGCGTCGACGATGCATCCGGTGGCAGCACATCCAAGCCCCCACGTAACACATCCGGCTCCGGAGCGCCACCGTTCAGCCCCAGTGCGCCAGGTCGCCCACCCATGCCCACGTCCAAGGGTCCCATGCGCCCTCCCATCAGCTGAGATTCATCGGGAAGACCTCCCATCCCGAGCGGCCCCAGACCCCCTCCGCCAACCAGCGGTCCAAGACCCGGACCCATTCCCAGCTCGTTGCCGCCCAGACCTCCTCCATAGCCCATCTATATCCGCCCACAAACCTCCAGTCAGATTATCCTTCCCACACCCACACGTCAAAATCGACCCAACTCCCGATGCTGATTCCGAGAACCCTCATCCACGACCCGGTCCGTCCACCACGGATCCATGTCGTGCAAATGCTCCTCACACTCCAAGCCTCGTCCCGTCATCCTGCCTACCATACATCACAGCTACTCCTTGCGTCCCGATGTCTTACCATGTCCCCACCGCCGCCCAAACCGTCTCCATCTCTCCACCCGGCGCGCCCCATTTGGTCCTCGTAAACTCTGTCACGAGGATAGCCAACGTCGCGATCTCTACCTGCACCGTAACCCGTTCTTGGAAGCCCGTCTTCTGTGTCAAGGACAAACGACAAACACCTCCCATCAGCACCAACCCCCGTGTTCTCAACGCATTCTCCCAAAACCTCTGCTCTGCACTCACAAACGTCGCACGCCCCTTAATCCGCACCCTCGTGTTCCAAGCTCAACCGTCTGACAACACCACCACACGTGCATGTGGGATGCCTGGACAGAACCCCACAACCCCAACCACGAACAACGCCCACAGCTACAAAGCTGCAGAATCGACCACTCCACTCGCCCTCGCCCATGACTTCACCACCACGACCCTCATCATATCAAGCCCATTGCTGAGCGACGACCGTTTGCAACGTCAACGCCTTTTTACGACACCTCCCCTGTCTTCACGACACCCGAACACGCATCCTCATCGTGAAAGTGGTCACGCAATTGCTCGAGGTAGGTGCTCCACAGCACCTTCCAATTTGGACCTTGAGCTTCCTCGGACTCGTACCAAACATCCCCGACCATGCCTCATGCCCGATGCACACGGCATTCCTACATGTACACCACAATCGTCCAAAGCAAACCATGTCAACGTCGCAAACATCCACCGTAAACCCACGTCAAGAGTCACTAACCGTAATCTCGACGAGTGCGCTTGGTCGGAGTGGATCCTGCACGCCTACCATCCGTTGCCGCGCCGTAGCGCCAATTGCCCCCGTAGTCCCCCATCGCTGGACCGTCTAGCCCTGCCCGCCACAACCCCCTCCCGTTCAAATATCTTCCCTCTCGTTCTTAATCTACTCCACCCCAACCAATCACGGCTCTCGCGCGCCTTCTCGTGCTGTCATTCCCTACTCCACAATTATCTCTCCCTCTCTAACATGCTGTCTCGCAAAACATGCATTCAAGCAATCGCTTCGACGTCAACGAAACCACCAAACTACCAAAACTGGCCCCGGAAAACTTTGCCTCCTTCAACTGGCACTGTGCAAACCTAACAATCAATGATCCTCCTGCTGAGGATTGTAGCGAAGCGATGGAGCGTTCGCACAGGTAAAGAAAAAGAATCAGCATTAGCGTCACAAGGATGCCATAAACCATCGCGTCTGTAACAACCCATACTCGCCACCCGCTCCCCACCGCGATAATCATGCCCTTCCCAAACCCTAACTTTTCCCCACAACAATCTTGAATTACAGACACGCACGCAAAAATACTGTTTTTTTGAGCCGCAGATAGCACAGGCCGTAAGCGATACAACAATAAGTAAGTTGCGATCACGCACTCAGCTGCTGGCTCCCGTTAATGAAAGGGTACATGTGTGTCGGTACTTCGGAAAGGAAGAGCGCTGTCGCTGACGGTGGTCGCTCTCTGCACTTCCTAACGTGGCGTAAAGGAAATTGGTACAGTGATGGCAAGTGACGCCAGAGATCGTGGGGGTCTGGGATGTGCACGCCGAGTGCGAGGTGGGCAGCACCTGCGAGTGGTTGTGGTGGTGATGATGGGAGTGTATGTATGGGGGCTGTAGTTGTTGTAGTGGCTGCGCTGCGGGTTTGCGAGGATGGCGCCGCGCGGAGGTGGTGGTGGTGGTGGTGGTGGTGAGCGAGTTGAGCACAAACAGAGCCGAGGTCAGGCCAGGGGAGTGGGGGAGACAGGGGACTGGATGGTGTCCCCGGCCAGCCCGGGGGCCTGTCCAGACGGTTGGGCGGACGGGACCCAGGGTTCCGGGGTGGTGGTGGGGGGGGAGTCTCGGGATGGATGGGGCACGCACGCAAGCCCTTCTCCTCCTCCGATGCTTTGCTTTGCTTTGCATCTCCGACGATGGTGTCCCGCTGGGTTTCGATCAACTACCACCATATGGTTCTCCGTTCTAGTGACAAAAGTATTATTTAAAATATCTTCGATAATTTGAAAAATATTCAGTTGTATAAAATGGCCATTTAGATGTATTCTTTTTTACTGAGAAATGTATGTATGTATGTATGTATGTATGTGTATGTGTATTCACACGTGACAACTTAAATGGATTCTAGATAAGTAAAATATTGAATAATAGAAAAATATATTGCAGTTTTTTATATAAGAGTATTTGACGTTGTTTGTAAGCTCAACGCAAAATTAAAGTTTAAATTTTCAATAAACAAGAATCGGAGGTTAAATAATGGTTCTATACACCTGTATCTTTGCAGATTTAATAATTAATGATTCAAAGGTCAAGTATCATTTGAAATATTAAAACTTTAGCTTGAATGATTTTCTCTATGTAAGTAGCATTTATATTGTTTGGGAATAATAACAATAGTGATATACATATCAAATAAGTATCCCAATATGACATCACAATTTTGAAATATAAATGAATGAAAACATAGGTACATATACATGATCGGAACAAGGTGTCTGAGTGATTAGGTAGAAGAAGATGTGATTAGTGTTTGGTTATAATCTACATATACATCAAATAGACAAATAATTTATTCTTGTATCATTTCATCTAATACACCGATATTTAAATAATAACGTCATAAAAAATTAAGTATTTATAGGTCTCTTATTTTATTAGATATATAAATTAGTAAATGAAATGAGATATTGTTTTTCAAAAAAAGATACATTTATACATACATACATACATACATACATACGTATATAAAAATAAAAGCAAGGCTAATCTATAACAAATGGTTCAAGATAAATATCCAAACATTGTAGCACAGAAGGACAACACTTGTGCACTTAAACGCACAGTGCATAAGCTTGAAAGTAATTCATCGATCATTGAATAATTGCAAGGAGTGTATGTAGACATTTCAAATACTTGGTGTAAAACTTGAATTACAATTCCAGGAGCAAGGGCGTGGTGGAGAAAGCAAAATCCAAGCGCGGAGGCGAATGAAGAGGGAAACCCAAAGCAGAGGAAAGTGCAAGAAAGAAAAGAAAAGAAAAGAAAGCGGGTAGAAATGGAGCGGAGGCACATCCGTCTCCCAGCACTTGCGCGTATGTCTGCATGCATCTATTCATCCATCAGCTTATTCATCCATACATGTAGTTTCATCCACCATATTATTCATCCATACATGTAGTTTCATCCATCACCACCGCGGGCATGGGGCTCGGGGTTTGGCTCCACCGACATCTCTCCCTCACTCTCTCGCGCTCTCTCTCTCCCGGACACATACACATACACGTAGACACACACACAACTCACACCTACTCCTTCACGCACAGTAAGTGTGCAAGAAAGTAAGGAGGGAAGGAACGCAAACAGTAACTCCCTTCCTGCCCTGCCCTTCCCTGCCCTTCAACAACAGAGGCAGGTGCTACGAAGAGCCAAGACATTTGGGGGGAGGACGACGATGACGAAGGTGATTTTGGGTGTACCTGCCGCACGGCTCCCCCGCGGATCCCAAGCTTCCCACTAGTGCAGCCTCACTCTCACTCTCACTTTCTCTCTCTCTTGCTCCCTCTTTGTTGTTGTTGTTGTTAACTGTTATTGTTGTGGTGGTGGACGGAGGAGGCTGTGGAAGCTGCGATGGCAGCGAGGGAGGTCGATTCGCAGGCAGGGAATGGAATGAAATCCTTCTTGCACATTCCGTCGCACGCTGAAGTATTAGAGAGATCTCGACCCCAGGCTCCGCCTTCCTTTTTCCGTCCTTCTTCCAGCGCCGCACCGCCTGTCGAGGCAGTGGGAGCAGCGTCGGTATCCAGCTCAGCTTCTCAGCAGCAGCAGTCACTGGGAAGAGCTGGCGGTGTGCCGGGTTCCTTCGGGGAGGCGTTTTCTTTCGTGAGACAAACGGAATTTTACACTCCGCCTCCTGCGGCTCCCACTCCTACTGTCCCTGTTGCGCCTTCAGAAGGTGTCCCTGGAAACGGGGTTGGATCTAGGTCGCAAGAGTACGTAGTTCCTTGAATATCTCCCTCTCTTTGGTAAAAATGGTGCTTTCGTGATGGAAGCTAATCAATTCATGAACACCAAAATGTCTTAATCACGAGAGGGCTGTTTGAGTGTCTGATTGGAATTTCGTGTTGTTAATCTACACGAAGTTCAAGTGTTGAAATCTTATCCTATTTTAGGTTAAAGGAATCCTTAGGAGTTGCATTGTTTTCAATTTCCTAATGTCCATACCATGTAGTATTCTTAATCCGAGTGATTACAGTAATTCGGATCAGGAGATAGGGTTTCATCAGTTCAACCCGTAATCGATCCTTGTCAAAGGAGTTTATGCCAGGATGAAAAAATTGCGAAGGATGATGAGATTATCCTCTTTTCTATGGTCATTGCTACAGAATTGGAGTTGTGATATAGGGAAACGTTTCATGTCACATTTTGCTCTATCACTAATAAGTGATGCCAATTGTATAGGGCTCTGCCAACTGTTAACTCTCAAGCGCGTAATGCAATTTTGGTTAACCGTCGCCAGGTTGATTTTTCTCGTCTCCGTCATCACTCGCTCTTATCATTCGAATTCCAATACAAGTGTGCATATAGTGGAGCTAGTCTGATGTAAGAAAGTGCGGCAGTTACCTGCTGGCTTATTTGGGGATACAAGCTGATGTAAGCTGTAAAAGTTTTAGGCTACGTTGATCCTTTACTCAATGAGATGATGCTCAAAGTTGGTTATGGTGCAGACAGGAAATCCAGTGCTAAAATATATCCGAAACGTTCGATGGGTGTTTGGCGATATTGTGCCCGACTATCTGCTCGGCCAGTCGACTTGTGCTCTTTACATAAGGTGTTTACTTTGTTTCTGAACCTGTGAGCATAAAGTCTTGTTGATTCTCCGTTTCTGGCTGTAATTTAGAGACCAACGAAATTTGAACTTGTCCGCTTAGATATTAGATATGTCTCTATGTCATGCAGTTTACGTTATCATCTACTTCATCCCGATTATCTCTATTTTCGAATCCGGGAGCTACAGAAGGGCTTTCGGCTACGGGTGGTACTATGTCACGTTGACTTGGTGAGTCGGTTAATCCTTTGTAATCTACAATACGTCTGAGTTACTTCGTATCTTCGAAACATTTGGATACTGTAAGTTGCTCGCTATGGACTGAGGCATTACCAGATTTAGAATTGACTTGATTCCCAGCCATTTGTAGATAATTCACACACCTAGAGCAAATGGTAATTGCAGGAGGATGTGATCAAACCGCTACATGAAGTAATAAAGACATCTCTACTTCACGACTGCAGCCTTCTCTGTGCATGGAGGTAATATTCTGTCTCAAGGAGGACACATGCTTTCGTGTATTTAATACTACTTTTGACTTGGGTTTTCTCCTTCACAAAGACTATAATAACATCCTATTATCGCTTTTTAAAAATATTTTTATTTACTGGGCAGTTTGGAAGAGTGTGCTCGGTATTTGGAGACACTGAAAACATATGAACACAAACCAGCTGACAATATCCAAGAGCGTACCGATAACGACTATATCTCCAGGGTATGGCTACTGTTGATTTTCATATGAAATGTGGGAATTTTTCTCGTTCTGAACTTTCTTTTGGTCTTGTTCATTTGGGTGCTCTCTTCTCTCACAATCCTTTAGTTAAAATTTTAGCTCACTTTTCTTATAAATCATCGTGTTTTGCAGATGACCAGTGCGTTGACAACAGTGAGACATGTGAACAAGACAGATGTATTGACCCTGGGGTCTACATTTGAGGTGCCTTTTTATCTCTACAGTGAATTTCTTAGAAGTTAAATGTGCGACTCCTGGTTACGTGCAATTTCTGTTTGAAGTATGCTGTGAAATGATATTGATGGGTTTAATATGTGGTTTGTGTCATTACTGCAGACCTTAACTGGAATATTTAGCGCTTCAATGGAAGATCTAGCACGCTGCCCAGGAATTGGTGAAAGAAAAGTACGTACTTGAGTAAGAGCATCTACGTGTTCATTATTTGGATAGAGACTATTGTTAACGTACTGTATGCTACACATACGGTTAATCTTGTTTTGTTTATTGGCTCTACTATTCATTTTGGTGCCGAATGTGAATCATGGACAGGTGAAACGATTATACGACGCTTTTCATGAACCCTTCCGACGCACCACCAAGCAACTCCAGTTGGACAATATGTTAACGAAGGTCAGTCAAAGTGTTACAGCGGAATCAAATACTACCCTTGATTCTTCAACCATGCAAATAGATACAGTTGATACTGCTGTTGGTGCTAGTGAACCAAATGCTGACATACCAGAACTTTCAGTGCGACAAGCTTTGAATACTGCGTATGCAAAGGTTGTAGAACGGAGACGTGGTTCGCGAACCGAGACGTCCATGAAAGACATGAGCACTGATTGCAGACATACACCTCTTGTAAATGTTGAAGTTATTGATATCACATAGCCCATTGCATTTCTGCGGATATGCTTAACATCTTCACTACCCAAACAATAGACTGCAGAGTAATGAAGGACTTTCTGGGACTCACACACGCCACAGATCTTGTAAACCTTCTAAATCAAACAATTGCTTGGGAGTTCATTTATGTGAAATGAACTGACTTCTGACCGAGTTTAAGCCCCAAGCGTGTCTGAAGTGGATGCTGCCCGCTACTTTGTCACATCTTTTCATTGGTCTGGCTTGAAAATTTTCATGCACCAGAAGCACTTTCAAATCCTAACAGCATGGGGCGAGTACCGACTTGAGACTCATTGAAGGCCCTAAATGGCAGAGGCTTGATTACGAGAACCTGTTTTGACCATAATAACTTCGAGAACCCAATGCATACTTAGGATGTTAGAATAGATTGAGTTGCAGTCTTTCGAACACCCGTCTTTCGGCAACCTTACCGACTTTGTCAGTCAAAGAGCCCAACGCAGGTCGAGGCTTTTACCATTGTCAGTCTCAATTGTGGACGTCATACAGAGGGGAAAAGGTTGGGTAAAATGATGGGGGAAAATTTGATCTTGCGAATCAATGATTCGGGAGTATGTGACATGTTGAGGCCCCCTTGGACACCAGGGTACCGTCTGCTCAGGGGAGAATAGCAGACATGGCAAGCTTCCCCACCCCCCCCCCCCCCCACCCCAGGAATCAGCGGCTCGTGCGTGCGTGGGTGGGAGTGAGTGAGTGAGTGAGTGTGAGAGGGTGAGAGAGTGTGTTGATTACGTTGTGTCTCTGCAGCCACAAAAAAGGAGCTGGAGGTTTAGCCGGTTCGGTCATGGCGACCTCCGCTCTGATCTCGTTGTCTTGACCGTTGCTCGGCGCTTTCATTGTGGACTCGCGAGCTTGTTGTGTGCGAGCTTTTGCCATGTCCAAGTCAGAGAACAAGCGTTCCCTGCGATTCGAGAGGACTCCAGACCATTTATGTTTATCAGATTTTAAGCTGCGCTCCTGGAGCAATTCAGTAGTATATCCTCTTGAGATAAATTTCATTGCGTAAATTGCTTGGAGTCTAGTGTTGGATGAATCGCTGACGCCATGTACATCATTCTGCCATTGGGCAGTCTACAGCTTCACTTAAATTCGTGTACGCATCAATGCATCGATTTTGAAGTAGAAATGGTATGTATTGTGATGATGAATGGCATTTAAGATTTTGTAACTTTTACAATCGTTTTGAAAATTTTAGGAGTTAAAAATTTAAAATTGTTTTCAATTGGATAAGCTTTTTCATGTAGAAATCTCGTCCAGAACTGGAAAACTAATATGATCTTGAAATTGATAACTTTTGTTCATGGGCTTGCGTAGTGCAGAGTTTGGTAGGCCCAACTCGACCTCTAGTTTAATTTTTGTGTCTGCTACCTGCATTCGTGTAGTTATATCCTTTAACATCGAAATCAGGAATCGTCTTCCTGGTTTCGTTGCTCTCATCTTATTCTCTGCAAGAATGCTTCTGGGCCTTCCTAACCGTTCCTAACGCTGTTGGTGCTGCTGCCAAGGAAGTCGAGAGCATGTCCTGTCTTTGCGCAGCGTTAGCCTGGATATGGATCTTCGTCGTCTTCTTCGCCCAAAGATGAATCTCCTGACAATAGAAACATGGAAACTGATAAAGTATGTGACTCGCAACTGTCTGCTTTGACATGACTCAAATTCGCCCTCGAGTCATTTCTCCCTCAGCTACTTTCTCCTTCTGTGCAATGGTTCATTCACTCGATTATATTTTAAGGCCAAATGTCGCTATGTGGAGGGTGTCGTAAGACGCATCTCTGCCTGGTATCACCTTGTCATTGTGCAGTGTAAAGCTCGATTATCTCAGTTGAATAGAATGTCGACGGCTAGACGGCAAGATTGCTGTGCCCAGCCGTCAATGCTGACAATTAAGGGTGCTTCCGTAGAGACGGGGTTAGTTCATAGAACTGGTTTACTTTTTTGAGTTGAAGTCAGTATGCACGGAGGTCTTAATTAGCTTGTGACACAGGTAGAGGGACCACAAGACTCTTCGGAAGTTGGAAAAGAAGGTGAGGCTTCAACGGCTGAGGAGGAACGGCTCGCGGCGGAGAAAAGTAGAAGACTGCGGGAGGATTTGGCACAAGTGAGTGCTATTAAACATAATGATCCACCGTAACTTTTGAATAAGAACTTGTAAACATGGAACATTTATAACTACAGAAATTGCGTCTTGCAACCATGCATTTGGGGATAAGTTGATCAGCCATGACCTTGTCTTAGAATGATCGTGAAGTTTCCCGCTAAGTGCTCAACTAATACACTTGTTTCAATTTAACTCCACCATGGGATAAAGCCCTTCGAATCTGGACATTGACACGAGCCATTTTGTTTTGTTTTTGGAGTAGAAAGCGATGGAGGATGCCAGAAATAAGAAAGAAGCAGAAACCTTGTTCCAGATGAGTCAGCGAGCCTATGGTCGTGGTGGGTATGATAGGAGTGTGGAAATGCTGGAAGCTGCTCTTACAAAAGTTTCAGGCTCGTCTAACCTTGGTGATGAGGTCAGAGTAGGCTTGCAAATGAATTTAGGCTACGACTGCCATGATAATGCAGTTAAGAGGTTAACCATAAGGTGGCTTGATTTCCTTTAAGTGGTGATCGCATCTTATCGTTTTATGCCTTAATGGGTTATTCTATCAACGTTTTTGATCTGGAGCCCAGTGTAGGGTTGGATGTAGTGTTTAAAAATTCCACCAGAAATTCCGTCAGTTTGTATTGACCTTGCTTTGATAAAAGAAGATATTTCCTCTCCAGTTATGTTTCATCGGTTATATGATGCCTACATGTGGAGACGGTCTTTCTCAGGTATGAAATTTTACAGCTGGCATTGCTTATTCAAAATGTTGTGGATGGTGCGGAAATAATGTTCATGACAAAACAAAAAGGTGCTTTTTTGATGGAAATAATCAGATCCAGATTTGGCCAGCCATGGCATATGATGCAGTTGGTCGACATGCGGATTGTATTGCTTTGTACAAGCGCCTAGAGAACTCTCATCCTAACAAGAACCTCCGGAAGCAGGCTGCTGATTACGATTCATTGCAGAGGCACCAAAGCTCGAGATTTCGCGGGATGAGATGGTAAAAATACCATTGATTGAAAACAATAATGATAGGTACATACTGAGCATTATAATGAAATCGTTGTAGATTCTATCATAAGGCAGATACGATGAATTGAGTAAGGTGTGGTGGTGTGGAGCATGTTGCTTTGCACTGAAGCTATCAAGGGCTATCATGAGCATCAAAGCAAGATTTTCCTAAGGCTGAAGGATAGTTATCACTATATTTGCAGGAAAGCTAAGACTTATAGTCTGATTGTGAAAGATAAAGAAGAAAGTGCCTTCGAATAAACCAGGTCCACAATCTAGGGATAACCTAGAAGACTGGCTGGAATGGAAGCCTCCCCGCTGGGAAAAAAGTCCCTACCCTTGGGTGGCACTTAAAATTTGGCTCACTGTAGTTGCCATATCCCTTGTTTTTGAAAATCGACTGGCATTCAGGAGTCTGATAATTCTGCTCCTAACCCATTTGGAAAACCAGGTTGTACACTCAGTTGAAATCTTATAACTGACAGACATCATCTGCAATGGACAAGAGGAGCTAGATGAGTAGCATAGATCAATTTTACTTGAATTGTAACCATAGGACCTCCATCCTTTTTCACTCACCTGATTTTGAAATATGCACTTGAGATGTTCGTTTTCGGTTCAATGAAAAATTCAGTTCTATTGGTCAAAACCTAGGTGATCGGATAACTGCTTTGTTGAGTGATGCTCGTTTTGGCTCAAGTACTTGGTTATAATCCACAAGTGAAGTGTGGACCGTGCACATTATGCTAGTCGTGAACAATTTTTCTGTTATTGTTTCAGTGGCAGCTTTGGATTATTGTAGTTTTCCCACCCTAGCGATGCTCACAGAACATTGTACTTAAAATCAATGTTCCCTCTTGTGGCATTGCTGTAAGGGCAAATGTTGTTAGCATCCGCAATGACCTTCTCTGCTGTCCTCTCATCTACTCCTTCCAATTTGATGTCGAACAAAACACTGATGGTCAACTTGCCTTTGTCGTCTTTCAGCAGGGAGCATTTGCTATTGATAATGGTGCCCTTCACAGCCGCCTTGTTGTTTTTGGCAGCCAACCCAATAGCGCCACTGAAGCAAGCTGCAAAGAGCATAATTGTACAAATCGTTGGATTTCAGGGTTGTAAATGCAATACGAAAACCTCCCAATCATCGTTGACATGAACCCAGAACTGATTATGACTACTTATTGTGGTCGAGTGTTCTGTAATGTTCATGGGATGTACCTGCGTAACCAGCTGCAAACAACTGCTCAGGGTTGGTATACTTGCCAGGTCCTCCCATACTCTTAGGCAGCCCAAGCTTGAGCTTCAGATTTCCGTCATCAGAGGTAACCTCTCCATCAGCTCGAGCGCCCTTCACTAGCGCTTGAGCCACATAGATCGTTTGAGTGGAATACCCGCGGCGCAGAAACGATAATAACGAGGACGATCGGCGCAAGATGTGTAGGGCCATCGTTGCAATAGACAGACTGAAAGAGGCACCACTATTATCAGCGGGTGACTACATGTGACGCTGAAAGCAATGCTACTTCTGGGTCTGCTATGACATATACATTAAATAAAAAAACAAACTAACGAGTTCATCCAAGCTGCCACTTCCCTTCTCATCTAAACACCATTCCTAAAATCAATCGTTTCAAATAGTCAACAAAGTGGCATGCCAAATGGAAACCAGATTTCAGAAGAGATATCAATGGAAATTAATGACACGTTTTCTCGCATGAACTGCGACGAATACAGAAAATCCAAGTCACCGCCAAACAGCTACTACAGAGTGAACGACCTACATGGAAAAACAAGTAACGACTTTCACCAAAGCACAAGAGTCAGTGTGAACGACAACAACACAGCATTGATCGAGTCCCGATATCAGACTCTGAATCCGACGTAGAAATGACGCAATGGTGCTTCTGTCATGATGCAAAAACGAAGCGATCAAGCCAACAGCACACCGACTCAACCGTGGCGGATGAACTGGGCGGAATAGAACCAACATGCGCTATTCCGACAACAACGAGAGGGGGTGAATGAAGAAGGGAGGGAGGGAGGGAGACCACTAAATAATTAATGCACATGCATGCACACTCACTCGGGATGAGCACCGCGCTCTCTAATCGCAGCGATGGAGCGCTTCTGCGAGTGCGAGTAAGTGCATGTGGGGCGATGGAAATCGGGGAGGAGAAGAGCCACGAAAGTGGAAAGATCCAGGCAATGCACCAGAAAGTGGCAAAGCACGCACGCACGCAGAGAAAGGGAAGCAGCACCAGACAAGCAAAGAAAAGAAAAGCCAAGCAAGCTAGACAGAAAGCAAGAAAGAAGTGTGTGCTAGTACACAACAACATCAAACAACAGAGCATTGCAAGAAGCGGAAAGAAAGACATCGTGACATCATCGAACATACACCCCCCCCCCTTCCGATTGAGTGCAGTTATTTCATAACCTCATCTATCCATCTATGCATGTCTGCATTTCTATATGTCTGTACCTCTTTATATATATATATATATATATATATATTAGAAGAAACCCACTTAGCAAGCTAAATGATTGTCAAACTCATTTTGCTATTAAATCATTTGTTGCTATTAAAGTATTTCACAATACACAACATTGGTTTGTGGATCATCAATTTTTTTTTATTTGGGCTTGTATATTCTTTTTTTTCTTTTTTCTTTTTTTTTTGTTACAATTTTCAAAATGAGAGTCCCACATGTTCACAAAAAATGAGATACGAGGTGAATACATGTTACTAGTACTGTTAACATCACATTTTTGAAAAGAGAGCTTCATGTTTTATTTCTTTGATGAATTATTCTTCTAAAATAGAAGGTCCAAATTACTCAATATCCATATATATATATATATATATATACACACACACACATATACAATATATATAATGAGACTTTTTAAGCAATTCCTCCTTGAGCTCCATATCCTCAAAGAATAGAATCTATACACGTTCTCTGTGTTTGTAGTGTTCCAAAGACTCCCTCAAGGATTCATGTGCAGCATTAACATCTACAACTTGCAATGATTTGGGGTTGGGAGTTTGAAAATCCAATGAAGAGACCAAATTATTGATTGTCAATGATACTTTAGAAAAACAATGATTTTGTAAGTGCCTCTTATATTGTGAGTACTAGAAAAATTGGAAATAAAGGGAGCACAAGAAATGCTAGAAATACTAGGAATACTAATTTTATACAATGTCAATCACAGATTTTCAACAATGCTAACAAGCTCAACCAATTAGTGATTTTTGTAAAGGAACAAATAAACAAACACCATTTTTTAATATAAAGTAGATATCTCTTTACATACTCAATTATACAGCAATATTGGATGTTACAACTTTTGTTTTATAGAATTACTATAAAAGTGTGGTTGTGAATCTGCTTCCCAAATAGCATTTAAGTTTGTACTAAATGAATTTAGATATTTTGTGTTCTTTTTTATAATCTCAATAACATATTTAAATAGAACTTGGACAACTACATCATGAAAGAAAATACCTAATTGACCTTTAGAATGAATAATACATTAAATGCTTATCCCTTAGTATTCTTTTAACTTTAAGTTTGATTAAAATAATTCGATTAAATTCTCTTAAACAATACCTTATTTTTATTTTTATTTTTTATAAAAATATCTTTGAAGTAAATAAAATTATCTCATGGAATATATATATATATATATATACATATATACACACACATATACACTTAAAAATTCAACTTTAAAAGTTTTGGAATAAAACATCAACTATCTTTTGTTTAAATATCCAAAGGCATATTAGTTAACAACTTAAACATTGTAATCTACTCCCAATCTTTGAACATTATATTAAAATCTAAACTAAATAATATGTATTTTTTAAAATCTTATCATAAATGTAGTATTAAACATAATAATAAAATTTATATAAAAATTTAATAGAAAATTTAGTATTAAATATGTCATGGATTCTATTTTACAAAACTTCAAAAGTAATAATAAAAAATTTAATTCAATTCAATTCAATTCAATCAAATATATATTTATAGCTTTTAAATTTGAGAAAAATAGAATCTATGAATATATACTTAAATTTATTCCACTTTTTTTACAAAGACCTCATTTAATAGACTATAAAAATAGAAATAATACCTTCAGCTTTTATATGAAAATTGTAACTTTGGTTTAATTTGCTCTACAACTACAAAAACTTATATGTATCTATTACTTTGCCACTAATTTTTCTTTGTTATGTAGTTCACAATAAAATAAAACAAAGTATCTTGTATTTGTTTTAATTCTTAAAATTATTGTAGATGTTTTTTGTAGCTTTATTTATATGTTGATCCTAGTTCTATATGGATATGAATAATGTATATTATAATTGAAAGAAATGTAAACTTCTATAATAAATTTAGTCTAAATCTATACTTTGTAATAAATATTTCAATCATTTTTATATAAGGGTTATCATAAAAAAACAAATTAAATAAACTCAAGTTTAAATAAAAAGAATTAAAATATTTGATAATATATATTTGTAACAAAATCCTTCTAGATTTTTTTATTAATTATTGAATCCCATTATTTTTTGGAATTTCGAATATGTAATTTTTAAATTTTTAAATTCTTGTTGAAAAAATTAACGTGATTAATTTTGGCCACTGAAATAAAAAATTATTTTTCAAAAAAAATTATATTAAAAAAGATATACTACCTATTTAATGATTTAAAATTTAAAATATATAATGTGCACTTGATAAAATAGAATTAATAATTGGTTTCAAAGCAGGCATTTGAACTTCTTTATTTTGAGCATCTCCAATCACATTCACTAAATCTTAAAAAATCATATTCTCATATAATCTTAACTTATTATTAGTTGTTCTCAACTAATCCTAAATTTTGTTGTCCAACTATCAACTGTAAATTCATGCAGAAGTTTATTAGCATGTAAAATATTAAAATACTTGTTTTTTTTTTCTTTCTTTTATTTCTAATTAGCATTTGAAAATATAAAAAGATGTAAATAAATATATGTATAAAATAATACGATAATGGTAATAATATGATAATTTTGTGATGCATTGGACCTCTCTTTATGTCACAAGTTCTCAATGCCGAGGAAGCTTCAATCTGTGTGGTATGGATTGCATGAACTCATTCACATGGTTTTTTGGTCTGTAAAATCACCTTAACAATATTTGCCTTAACTGTGGGTCCAATGCACCCTTGCATCAATTTAACCCTTCTGAAAAAAAATTAACAATGTACTTATTTCTAAAATATATTTTCAACGTAGCAAAACTGTGATTTGAGTTAAATTTGATACCCAGATTTGGTATCCAGAACCTCCAAGATTTTGTTTCAAAGTTTGTTGATTGATCTTGCTTCTTTTAGCTTAAAGAAATATTTAATTGTATGTACTGTAATGATATGTGTGTATATATATATTCTAATACAAGAAGATGGAAATTTATTTTTTCTGTGTTATCTCTTTCTTTCTAAAATGAAGTGTATAAGCATTATAAACTTACCAATCTTTAGATTCTTTGACAAATCATATGAATTTGGCTCAAAATTCATTCAATGTGTTATGTTTATCAATCTCTCTCTAACCTTCTAATTTCACAACTTACAAATTTCAAATTTGCTTAAGAGTCTTAAGTTTGAATTTGATTTATAATTATTTTTTTTCCTTGTTTTTTATATAGGTATGCAATGCAATATGTATTCATGCATTGCAAAACATGTCCTTTACAAGATATGATTGTTTACCAAAACATAGAAAATATAATTTTGTAAAATATCATCTTTTACAAACAGATAAAATTTAATCATAATAATGGCTTGGAACCTCTCAAAAGTAGTCTAAAATTTTATAAACCAATTTCCAAAAATAAATGTCACAAATTTAAAAGAATGCCATAATTATGCTTTTTATATTGTAATGCAAGTGTTTATATATTTTTTTGATCAATTATTTTTAAGAGCTAAAAATAGTATTATTTCAACTAAAATTCTTTAATTCTTAAAATAAGTAAACAATAAAATTAGTTTTGAGATCTAAAATAATGCAAGAATATAAATAAAATTTTCTATTAATTTTAATAACTAAACAAGAGTAAAATCTTACAATGACCTACATCATGATTGGAAAAACTAGAAATACTTATATTTAAAAAGAAAAGAAAAAAACTTAAATTAAATAAATGTAAAAATAGAAGGATTTTATATATTTCTATTTTTAGATTTTTTTGTTGAAATTTTAGATAGGATAAACCAGTTCATAATCTTTAGACACTTTAGAATAATTCTTGTTAACAACTAACAAGTTAATTAATCTATTTTATTTTAACAAAATAGTTTATTAATTATGAATTTTAACACTAATTTCATCCTGTTTTTAACTCTCTTTTATTGCATGGACATCCCTCCCTCTCTTCTCATATCACATATCTTTGCATACACATTCTTTACAAAAAATAACTAGTTTTTATTTTGATTGAGATGTTTTTTATTTTTTTATTTAGCATTAATATATTATAACATTATTTTTTTATTTTTTTATTTAAATAATTATTTTGATAAAGATTTACAAGGTCAAATGAGTTAAAGACCGAAAAAATATAAAACCATAAAATACAAATGGATAAGGATACATCAAATTTTGATATTAAATACAAGATAATATTAAAATGACCCAAGCATTTACTAAATCAATTCATCCATCATCACAAAGCATATAGGATGTTGGTCCTAATTGCATTGTCATTATTCTTATTTGCATTTGGATTGATAAAATATTGGTTTTTTAAAAATAGATATAATACAATGATAGTCATCTTATTAGTAATAACAACTAATTATCAACGGTTATATTTGATGGTTACTTCCTTTTATCCGACTTTGTTACAAGTATATCTTTTCATATATTCAACTTGTTTGCTATTCTTTTTGCATTATGATATTTTTTCTAATATTTTGAGAGGTATCTTTTAAGATATTTTGATTTTAAAATAGATAGTGTATTGCATATGTATCTTCTACTTGAGAGAATTTTTGATTCTTTTAAAGAGATGAAAGATAGTATAGATAAATTTGCTTACACTTAGGATTATATTATTTATAAGCACTTGTCTAACTAGGATCATATAGATTTTAAGTGTGATAGAGGATAGGTTTATGCTTAGTGGACTAATCTTATTTGCCAACTAAATATTATAAGTCAATTAATTGGATGTCTATTTGCATTGCATGCATATTCTATTTAATGTACTACACAATGACAACTAATAATTTGAAACAATGGACATAACTATGGTCCTTCACCTTCTCTTATAGGACATTTGGTTGCACAATGATTGCAACCAATAGAGAAAAAGATATCAGCTCAAATACTTGCATCAAAGTTATGAGAGAAATCCTAGTAGTTGAGTTATTGCACATACTATTTATAATAAACATCAAAGATTATATAAAAAGGCTCTTAATGGTTTTTCTCCCAATGTTTCATTTATAGAAATCCTATGCAATAGTGTGAAGAAATCAATGTGATAAAGAAGATAAATTTTTATTTATTTATTTATTTATTTATTTTTGTATATGTAAAATATGTTGAATTAGCATAGAGGTATTATTCTTCTATTATTACAGACTATACAAATGCCTATATTATATGTATTAGGAATAACAAGATTTAATACATCTTTCATAGTTGTTGTTTTTCTATAAGAAGAAACAAAGTAATTTATCTGTTGGGCCTTGACACAACTTATCCAATTTTATGGAAATATCAAACCAATCTACATTGGATCTCATTAAGATTTGGCATTAATAAATGACATTAAAAATATTTTTCTTACTTCTAATGTGTTACTTTGCATATGGCACATTCAAAAAAATGTTATTGCAAATTACAAGAAATATTTCACCACAAGATTGGAAGAAAGTTGATTTATATTTTTGATAAATTGGACCAATATTGTAAATGACTCTATAGAGACACTTTACAATCAAAAATGGAACATGTTCTTCACCAAGTATACTCCTACTAATGCCCATGCAACTATCAAGTAATTGCAAAATATTCAAATATCACAAAAAAAAAAAAAAAAAAAAAAAAAAAAAAATGATATGTAAAGATTTGGACAAATAATTACTTGCACATTGAAAGTGTAACTATATCTTGAGTTGAGGGTCAAAAATTAACCTTTAAATCATATTGAAAAGTTTCTATCAAAGATTTATGTGAGGTGTAAATTTGTCTCTCTTATTTTTTTGAAAATACATTAAAAGAGATAAATGCTCAAGAAAGTTTAGAACTTGCATATGTTATTAACATACCATTGTTTCTTTCACAAATGTTGAGAAAAAAATGTCCATATTTACTTTCAACCTTCTGTTCGGACAATTTAAAGGAACAGAACAGGTGTTAGATGTCAACTCATGCAGCATTAAAACCTGGTACCTTTGAATTGCTCCTACAAAACCTGGTTAGGAACAATGCCTACGTACAATGTCCGCACTTAATCTACACGACCGATGATAAGTTTACAAACATCTACAAGTTGTTCTCAAATATTATGAATTCTATGTTAACTATGTACATATATTTAATTTATAAGACGTGATATTCAAATAAGGTTGGTGAAACATAAGTTTATTTAATGCAGTGAAGAGGGTATGATCATGATTATGCAAAAGATTAACTTCCAGCTTTTGCACAACTTTAAGAATATGTGCATTTAATTGGTCGATTGTAGACTGACTTGCATGCATAGAATTAACAGATGTTTTCAAACGTATTTTAACATTACAAAAGCATGTATGCAATGAGACCCGCACTTGCCGTTTGCCTGGCATCAAATAAGCATTCACTGTCACTGGTGATACCACTTTATTCTAGACGTTGTCCCACAGCACGAACTAGCACAACATTTTAACTTGTACATAAAGAGTACACAAATTCACTGAACAAATCCCTAACAACAGCAGATCACAACTGAATGTATGAGAGGTAATACAAACATATGTTATCGCTCTATGCTTATTGATGTAAGCTGATCGCATCAGTCACACCAACAGCCATAGAGCACAGAACAGTTCAATCGGAGTACAGAAGTATACTAAAGAGTGTCCCAGTATGCAAGCTCTAGAACTTTACGAAAAAGAACTACAACTTAACGTGATACACCCAAAACAAAACACTAAGCCGTTATTGCAGTGAGGTCATACTACGTAAAAAACTCACCATACAAAATTTCATGCTCATGAGAAGATGGCCAACACGAAAGTGGGAGTACGGAAAGCGAGGCAACAAAGGAGTTAAGTACCATGCCGACACTAAGTTGGACAATGTCACCCGGAACCACATCCTCAGCGGCAATTGTCTGGAGCTGACCATTGCACCTGACTGCTGCGTCACGAGGAGTGGAGAGCTTCAGCGCTGCTAACGCTTGCTTCGCATGCCATTCTATTCCAACTTCCGCAATGACCAAGAGGAATATAACTATGAAAGCGGTTGCTCCTTCTTCCAAGCCACCGAACATGACGAACAATCTGCCCACGCACAATACCAGCAGCTGCAGATGCCAGAAATATTATAAAATAAATCAAAAATCAAAATAAAAAATAAATCAAAAATCAAAATTCAAAAATTCAAAAAACAACATTATGTAACAAAATTGGTCCCTCAATTTGTGTCATCAACAAAGCCAATTTTGAACACAGAAAATAAATCACAGTTAATAATGTCTTTTCAGATTACCTCTCAAAATTGTCTCGGTGACGCAACGGCAAAACAACGTGGGTATGATGCAGATTCTCCAACTCCCTTGATTGCTAAGTTAGGGTGCCTGCACATTACACAAAAACACACATCCGAATAAACTATGCATCTTCTCCATGACATGAAAAAGGCTCCCAATGGCAACATTAGGAGCGATTGAGATATATTACCACAGTGACTCATCAGAAAGACTCACTCACAGATTGCGCAAAAAGAGCCCAAATTGCACACTGAATGTAAAACCAGTCAAGCAAAGGGACAGAAGGAGAAGAGGTGTCATTACGAACAAGTTTGGCGGGACTCAAGGCAACCAACACCCCATTTGCCGTGGTTACAAACAAGCACATGTCCGCTGCAGCAAGATCACCTCTTCTTCCAGATGATTCTTGCAACGGCAATCCCACCTTGTGCATCATCATCTCAGCGACGGGGCAAAGCACTACGCGAGAGGCAGAGTGCAACGAGAGAGGAAGAGCACAACCCAGGAGGAAGATGAGAGGCAAGAGTAAACTGGAATTAATCTCGGGCTTCCTTTCAAACAAAGATGTAGGAATTTTCTACGGGAGGCAAGAGCTTAGGCAGACGCCATGTTTGGTCTTTGGATTAAGATCAGGGCAATGATGAATGCGAATTGTTTTCATTTGTTGCGGATCCAGTAGTAGAGAATAAAATCTAAAGGTCAATTATTTTTCATGATGGTTAGGTCGAGTGGGTCAACTTAGTAAAACAGTGGGACATCTTAACATTTCCGTAAATATAAAGTAATAAATATAACAAAAATCATAATTAATTATTTTTTGTGGGGTCTGTACGCAAGTGTATAATTGAGGGTGTCCACGCAATAAAAGGGAATGTCCACCTAACAATTCCCTATACATAAATATATATATTAGTTTATCATTTATTTAATTTATGCTATTATTTTTATTGTGGTAATCAAACACCTACAAATGAATAGCCTTGGATAATCCATTTCATTTTAAGAGTATTATCTTAAGATGTAGAATAATCACTAACTGAAACTTGATAATCGAGTGTTGAACAATCAGTTATTGAGCATTCAACAATGTAAATTGAGCTTCACATTCCGCCATAATTTCCTGATTTCCTGTGCTGGTGAAACTCTACGCAGCTGTGGTCCTGGATGTGACATCTCGAGTACAAAAATGGAGATCACTAAGTTTGGCTATTCCTTTTTGTTACTAGCTTTCTTCCCTTTCTTCTGGGCTTGCTTTAACTTGGTCGAACCAGGGGCTGTGACTTTGACGTTTCCAATCATACATGCAGCCAGCTCTGGATCGGTCATAGCTTTCATCAACTCCTTTTCTCGTGTAGTAATCTCTTGCATATGGCTAAAAATATCCACTGCAAACTTGGCCACTGAAAATACACCAGAATTCATCCGCACTGCATTAGTACCGAGCAGTTCTATATAAAACTGGCTTGAACAAAAATATTGCGAGGAAAAATGCTGGTAGGTGCATACCGAAAATAAACACAGTCATGTTACAAATCGTACTGATACTGACCTTTTCCCTTTTTGCCGTTTCCGGGAGTTAATTTTACTCGGTACTTGTAGCCTTGCAGAGCCTGGTACGGTGCACACACAGGCACCGCGTAAAGCAGCACATCAGTTGCTGTTGGACAACCTGTCAGTGAGTCCAGCTCTGTAAGCTTGTCTCGTTCATCATCTCCCAGTTCTTGCACATTCTCCTCTGCCAAGAGTACTGCAATCTCCTTTTCAGCAGCCTTAGCTCGAGCTCTCCTGCTTAACCCATCCACTACTTTGCCTGTGTCCGTCGCATGAGTACGGTCTGCTTCCTCATCTACGTTTGCAGTTAGATTATGCTCCTCTGTGACATAACAATAAGTTTGTGAAGTCGTGCAAACACTAAATAACACGTGTCATTTTCCAGCTGAAAATATATACAATGTCTCTTAATTATAGGATTCACAATAATACAGATTGCATGTAGAGCACAGCATGATTCAAGTTGCTTCAAGCGGCCCTGTAATTTATTTATTCAACAAAGACCACTCTTAGCTCAAGATATGCTTTGCAATTAGTCTTGGAAGTACCTGTCTTTTCTGACTCGAACGTGGTCGTTAAAGGAGTGGCCCTATCTTCATGGGCAGCACGAGGCTCCACATCCGTGACGGTGCAGTCGCGGGCAAGATGTCCCACCTTTTTGCATTTGTAACATACCTTTGAGCCTAACGCAATCGCATCCCCTGAAATGTAGGGAAGACTATCATGCGTTAACTTATGAACAAATTTTAGTGATAGTTAACTGTTCAGCAACTACAACAAGCTTGAACTTCGATGCTCTAGAGATGAAAGCGTTTAGGTAAAAGTACAGCGTTTCGAAAGCAGAGGACAAGAAATCATGAAGGACAGAATGCAGAAAAGCATAACAGAACCTTCAGTGCCGCTAGCAGAAGTAGGGTTCGAAACAGTTTTAGTCCGAAGGGCGGCCTTAATATTGTCGTTGGCGCCTTTCTTATTGCTCAGAGATGCTGCAGCTAAGTTTAAATCTTTCCTTCCTGCCGACTGTCAAATGTTGTGAGTCAGGTCATATTACGACCAACAATCCTGTATGAAATAGTACTTCACGTGAATCATACTTGGAAAATTAAAACTTACGGCTAACAAGGACATCCGCAGTTCTCGTTCATCTTCATCTTGCTCTGCATACTTTGCTTTAATTTTCTTCAACTTGCCCTTTCGTCCTCGTCCAACTTTCTCTCCTAAAGGCGATGATTCGGACATTTTATCATCTTTGAATATTGCAGATTTAGTCTTGAGGTTTTCCTCTTGGGAGGTCTTTTCTTCTTCGCCATCAACTGTTTCAGCACTAGCATCTTTCTCAGATCCTTTCTCCACCTTCCCTCCCTTCTTTGCTTTCCTCCTCTCTGCTTTAGAGATGTATGGTTTTTCCCTCTGAGAGGCTTTTGCAACTGGCAAGTCATATTCCGTGTCTGATACCTGAGCAGGTAAAGTGTCTAGACCGTATTTACTATTAGTATCGGTCCTCTTTGGACCAGCTCGCAGCTCAAGTGCACGATCAAGTAAGGCATCCAATCCTGAAGCATCATCGCTACTACCTTCCCCTTCTATACCTGCATCCACTTTCTCATCCAGGTTCCCAATTTCTACCTCAACATCGGGGCATTTCGAGTCAGCAACTTCATCCTCATTAAACTCTATATCTTGCTCTTCCTCTTCACCAACACCATCAAGCTCTTCTATTGCATCAGGGGTTTTGGAATAGACATCGTTGTTTGAAGTTACAAGAGTTAACGTGTCATCGTCCTCTACTCCTCTTGTCACACCTTCACCAGGAAGCTGCAATTTGCCTTGTTCAGTTACAACTCTAGAACTGTGATCTTCAGTTTCTTCACCTTCTCCTCGAACCCGCCTTTCGTTCAGATGTGCTGCTATACTGCTATCATCAAGCCTAAACAACACACCAAATCCCATTACAAGAGGGTTAGGAGGGAGAAAGTTCTTCTTGCCCCTGACCATGAAACTGCCAACTGTCAGATACTCCCCAGTCGGTGCAGTCTTGCTCACTTGATGTGCCTCAACCCACCACGCACTAGTTACAATCTTGCTGTCCCAGGCTTGACTCCTGCACACCTGAAGTGATTGACATTCATAGAACACAGGTCTGAGAGACCTGGGTTTACTAAAGAAGCATAAAAAGCATATTACCAAGATAGATTCCACAAGGTAATCATTTACGAAACAAAGAACAGAACTAAAATTGCAGCTAGAAGCAATTACTACTCAGCTCACCGTAAACACCCCAGCTTGGTTGATGGTGAGAGGTGGTATTGGATATAGAGGATTGTGATTTTGGATCACAGTGCTTGATGCTCCATGTAAATCTGCATGCACATATCTTCCCACGTATTCGGCTGAACATCAGAGTCGATTCCAATAATAAAAATTTGGCTGACATAAAGTGCGGGTGCAGCAACAATATATGACAAAAACCTCCGAACACTTGATTGGCAAAGTCTAAAACTTGCCGACAAGGAGATATTTATCTTTTGCAAAGAATAGGCACTGCTTTTGCCTCGACATCCAAAAATATTAAAAAAAAAAAAAAAAAAAAAAAAAAAAGTGAGTGTCAAATGCGGAACGTACAAATCTCCTTTTCTCATGTACCGCTTCACAACAAGCTCATTTTGTTGTGCATCTCGGCCACTGATAATTAAATAATTTTCGCTGCTTACAAACCAGTTGAATTTCTCAAACCAGTGTACTTTTCGCATATGTGAAATTGCAGCAACACTTTTTGCCTGTTCAAAAAAACACCCCAGGCTCCAAATCAGAATTAACACCGCAAAACTCTAGCAAGAGATTTTTTGACAACGAATAATCTTGCTAGTAGTTACAGCATTGTTAAGGTGAAGCAATAGCGTCCACACTCCTTGTTAGCAAGCCTAGCTATGACGTAAGAATTAGGACCTGAGCAAGCTGCTGGAGGGTCTTCTTTTCAGCAGCCTTGAATGCCTTTTCGTGAGCTGCTTTTGTCTTATCTTGTTTTACAGCATGTTTCTTTTTCTGCTCAAACCAGCGCCGGGCATTTGCGTGGGCTGAAAGCCCTATGTCTACATCGACCTGCAGGTGGAAGAACATACTGTATGATTTTACTGGTCACCGGAAACATCATTTCAATTAATTAGCAATTATAACGAACTCTATCACAACTGCAAAAGAATCTACAGCAAGAGCTACTCATGCATGTAAAACTAGGATAGTCATACTTTGCCAAGGTTTTGATGAACTCGAAATGACATAACAGAAACCGTTCTTGAACTACCTTACCTTGCTGACAGGTTGTGTTTTTTCATCATCGTCCATATCGTCGAGGTTATTGCTCAAAAGTAAAGTGATCTGATTTTTTTCCAGCTGAAGACTATGGATGAGCCCGGCCACAGGATTACCAGCCTTCTTCTCTTCTTTAATCATGCGTGCGAGATCTTTCCAGTCCATTCCACTAGCTACAGTGGACCGCACAGCCAAAATGGCATTATCAACATCCTCCAAGTTATATTCTATCAACTCTGCCATCCGCACTGTCTGGTCGACCTCTTGTTTCAGGACTTCCACTCGTTGTGTCTGAAAACAAGAACAGGCCAAATATTACGCTGGGCACTTGGAAACCTAAAGCCAGCAACCATAATTTAACAGAATAACGTAACCGACTGCAATTAAAACCAATAAACGCACGATAGTCCATCCTAGAACCAAACTAAAGGAGATATCTTGGCAAAAACTAATTTAAAAGAGAAAGGACTACAAAAGCATCTGTAAGCTTGAGAAGAGTTTGATACGCAATGTATTTCGGAGAAAAGAGAGAAGGCATTCAAATGAAACGAAAAATGACCTGATCTGCACGAATTTTGTCAAGCTTTGAAAAGGCAGAATCTTCTTGAGCTTTGCGCTGCTGCTCAGCCCTTTGCCCCTCAATCTTACTGAAAAATTCATCTAGGGCTGCATCATATGTCTCCATTCTCATGACAGTTCGGTCGTCAAACTGCTTCAAATGTAATGGAGAAAACTCGTCGTACACCTGCCTCCACATTAAACACGCACCCTGGTAAGTACGTGTTTTCAGGACGACATCATTATCCTTACTTGATTCTGTTCAACGAGGACTGAGCTTCCCCAGACGCAACAAAATTTCAAGGTAGCATGAAAGAATACAAATATTTATCATTTGAATTCTCTCATACTATCTTGAAATTTTGATAAATTCTTCTCATAAATATTTAATGATCAATACACCCTAAATGCCCACCTTCTCTTCCTCTTGAAGTTGATCATCAAGCAAGACTTTATCCTTTTTTATGTTCTTCTTCTGCATGTACACGAAACCTTCAGGAATTCGATCTCCGTTCACCACACTATCCAGCCAATCCTCAAATCTGGAGATAGCTCCCATCAAGTCACCCAAATTCTCCTTGCTTATACTTAGGACCCCATCAGGCCCCAAACTCACTTTCATTCCTGATTGCAGTCCAGAATCCAGCACAATATGTTCACAAAGAGCAGGTCCATACCCTAAACATCCTCCTAAGACAGACTTCAAGGTGCGCCCAGTATCCTCCTTCTTCCCCCAAGAGGTTTTGACTTTCTTTTCTTTCAAAACTTTTTCCGTTTTCCCTTTCCCTTTCCCTTTCTTCGTTTCTTGGGCCACAGAATCATGTACTACCTCTTTCGCATCAATATATTCATCAGCATCTGCCTGTGTTTTCTGATCCCTCATTGCAGCCTCCAACTTCTCCAACGAGAATCTATTAAATAATCGACAAGCATTGACAGGATACTCATGCTTTGCCATCATTACTAGCCCCTTGTCCTCATCCCTGAGACAAACCAGCAACACAATCATGAATGATGAGTAAGCTGATGTCTTGAACAAATCTAAAGAGGTGTGACAGCTACAAACCAGAGACTCTACTCCTAGAATTCCGTACATCGTAAACAATCTGGCAGAGTTCTCACATTCATTGATATAAATTGCACTATAAAAAGCAACTAGGACGAGCAGAAAAACATTTGAAATCATACTTGTGGGTTCGAAGTAAGGTGAGAACATTGTAGTCGCCATCTGTTAATAAAATATTTCCCTGCGCATAAAGCTCTAAGATGATGTGGTGGGTACCTTCCCCCATACCAAATTGTAAGTCGATCACCTGCAAAAATTTAATACTAATTGTGTGAAATTTAATGCAATCAAGGTAGTGGTTTAGATTATTGCTGTAAAGCTTTAAAACGTAATCTTTCGAACTCAAAAACCAAGCGAGATCCAAACTAGCCTGAAACAGCAAAGATAATGGAGATTACCCTATCAATGCCAAGTTGCCGGACATCTTCCAGTCGGCGAGTACGTATGTGCTTCCGAAGTTTAAGAGTAAACCCTGACGGAGTTGTACTTTTGTCCCTGTCCTAATAATGCTCTATTAGTACGCAAGACATTACACTTTTGAAGTACCTTAAAAATGAGAAGTCGTTCAGCTCTAAGGAGCTTTGAACCACGTTCAGCTCCGACGATTGCTACAATTACGACAAAGTTCTAGCTAGATTCAACTCTAAAGATAGTTTACTTTGGCAAGCCAACACATCAGAATCGCTGATTGGTATCAAACGACTTGTTGATCGACATAACTAAGATAAATGGAGAAAGGGAAAACTAAACAAGTATTGATGTTGCAGACTTCTGAATTGAACTATGTAACGTAGTGACTCATTTTCGCAAAAGTAGACTCATAGGGAATATAAAACAATTTTATTCAGATGCCCTATCTTCTTTAGACTACACAACTCTCTGAGGTACAATAGGAAAAAGAATTGAGGAAGAACACTGGCTGCCTAAACCATCTCACCTTGCAAATTCAGTCGTATGAAACCGCACACCGCTCTCCAGGAGGAGCAAGGACCTCTCGCTTTCGCCAGACTCTGTAACTCCACTACTCCTGGATAATTTAATGACGTACGTCTGCATATAAATAAATGCGGCAAAATCTTGAGTTCACCCTAAACCTTAGAGAAAGTCTAAAAGAATGAAATGAATTTTCACAGATCGCAACTTAAACCCTAAATCAAGAAAGAAAAGAAAGATTGAAGTTCCATATTTGAGAAGGGAAAAAATTTCAATAATATCAAGTTGAAGTGTAGGTGCTAATGCTTTGATTATTAAATTGAACAATCAAAGTTCAGAATTGTATGCGAACATGGTCTTGGCCAGCTGAAAGACTACGAAGGCAATTTAGCTCTGATGAGTGGCGTTCATATGAGCATGCAAAAATCATACGAAATTCTGAAACGAAATGATGCTGGTAAAAGAAGCGACTATTTACGGAAAAACATGCACATCAAGCTCCATCAATTCAAGTAGGCCAACCAGGACACGATATCGTCCAACACTAAGTTGGTTCGTCTCTCCACAAAACCCTTAGTATAACAATTCTCTGGAGTGAGAAAAACAGAACATTCAATGGAAATCAACAAAATCACCTAATTACATAACTAGGCAACATTGTCAAGACCGATTACAAGAAATCAAAGCAAACAGTCAAAATGAAAGACCAACACAAATAAAACTGCTCCAAACAATAAGCTTACTTTGGGAGTCAAATCGTAAACATTTGCGCAACGAAAACCAATCAGTCTCCGCAAGCAGCGTACTTCGGCCGCCACATCGGCCGTATTCATTCGTAGTTTCACCATCGTGCCGACCGCCTCGGTATCAAAAACTAAAAAGCAAAATAAGTATCCGACAAAGGCCTCCTCCGCTACAACATATCCTACTCAGCGTCACCAACGGATATAACCTGCCTCGCCGAATCAAACACGAAACCTGCTCGAGCACAAAGTGCTCTGTATGGCTGAAGGAGATAATCTCAATTCCAACCTGCTGCCTTGAAAAATCCTACGATCCAGATGCTTAGAAACTTAGATGCGGCCCATAACCGGTCTGAAGACAACGGCAAAGCGCTCTTGGAGAAGCCAAAGTCTTCAATCAAGAGCGGGTGCGCGAGCCCGCTGTTCTCGTGTACTCAACACATTCATTCAACGCAAATGGCAAAGCTCGTCTTCCCTTCTTCTTTCTTTCCTTCCTTCCAGGCTGCGGGCTCGCGAGCGACGGATGTCGTCGCCTCGACCTCGACCAGGCCTCTCTCCCTCCCCACCTCGGAACCTCTCGCGCTGGCCAGAGAGAGACCCGGTTCTATACCCGGGAGGACTCCCTGCCTTCCCATATCTCTCACCTGGCTGGACATCCCCCCCCCTGTCCATTTGGGCCCATATTCTCTGTATTTCAATGATTATTATTATTATTATTATTATTATTTCTCTAGAGTTACAACAAACAAAAAAACAATCAAAACCCCCATTTCGATTTTTTCATTTATTTAATGATGTTATCCCGACTTGATAATTTAAAACAAACAATATTAAAAAAAAAAAAAAAAAAAAAAAAAAACTGGGGTAATTGGTGTTTGCAACTCTCTCCTTCTACCACCTTCTCTAGTGGGTTGTGTTAGGGCAAGACAGATTTTTTTTCCAAGTTTTTCAACCAAGGAAGTTGGTTCACAACCTTTGTCTTGAAAAAGTCCATAAGCAAGGGACGTTGCAGACAGAAATGGTTTGGGGCTTTGACTATGCCCTCCAGATTTGCCTATATTTCCCTATATAATTTGCATACACAAGTGTCTCAAAGGATGGATAGATGTATAAATGGATGTCCTAAAGAGACACCTTTCTATCTAAAGAAATGCCCATCTAAGTGAAGGACACACTTCCTAAAGACAACTATGGACAATCAACCATCAAACTCCTTAAAGACAAAATCAAATATTTGAAATTGGAATTCATCCAAATAACATTTTGAGAAGGTCTAATACTTTTCTTCAGTGTGTATGTAATTGCCAAGTCAAACATAATAGAGGCAAGAGAGAAGGTTAAGAAAAAAAAGATATACAATAATAATAAAAGTGAAAATTGTAGCAAATACCACCATTACTGGTTTGAGTAATGGTTTTATTCCTAAACATGGTTTCAACTGTAAAAGTATTCATAAAGTCAGTTCAGTTAGTCTCCTCTCAAGCAACAAGCAATTGCCTTTACTTTTTGGATAAAATTTTGTAGGACCATGTTCATCCATTGGCCTAATTTGAGATTGTTCCCCCAAAGTAGAGAAGATCAAAATATTTGAAAAGTAAAACTTGCAAATACTACCTCAACTGTTAGCAACAAAATTTAAACCTAAAATTATTGTCGTGACAAGGATGCTCTCTTACCACTATGAGTAACCTTTGTGGCTCTTCATTTTGGTTGAATAGTAGAGTTATTCATTAATTAAAGTCCACTCCTCACCATATATTGTTTGCTTGTTGTTCTAAAATAGAAAATAGATATTAGGTGTCTAACCTGACCCCATAGATATAATTCAATGTATTTTTATTTATTTGTTTACTTAGTTTGTAGGTATCTCCTCCAAAAGTGCTATCCACATTACATGGCATAGAATATGTTATCACTAGATTACTTCATAGGTTATAGAAATTAAATATGAAACAAAATACAATAAAGCTATATATTGATATGTTTTATAAAGGAGGTATTCTACATCCATCTATTTTAATTTAAATCTTATATTTCTATCATGTTTTTTAAAATATATACAATTAAATCAATAGTTCCATACAAACGGTTTTGATCTATTTGTTGAAATTATCTTCTTTAAATACTTTTATATCACTATATAATTTAATATGGTAATAAATATTATTTTATTTTATTCCAATGTCTTGTCTAAATAAAGTTGACCTTTGATTCCAAATCAATACACCTGCATTTATTTATTTTTTTTATCCAACAAAATTAAATCGATTACATTATGACTATATATGGGATTATATAAATATATATATATATATATATATATATATATATTCTTAAAAAATTATAATGGAAAGTTTATAACATTATCACATGCTAATATTATCAAATATATTACAAACAAATGTTATAGTAATTTTTTAATATTAAATAAATATATAAATTAACTTTAGACATTTACTAAGAAATAAAATGACTCAAATTAAAAATTAAAGTGCAAGTTGATTTTTTTTTAAATTAATGAAATATAATAAAATAATAATAGCTACTTAAAATATCAAAAAATTAGAAGAATCATTTATTTTCAAAAGCATAGTAAATCTTTAAATATGAAAAATTTGATAATAAGAAATATAAAAATTTAAAATTTATGAATCGTTTAGGATAAGACTTTTTTAAATTAAAAACATATGTATCGCCTGTCAATTAAATGTTCCATTGCTAAGTTGAAATTTTGCAAGATTTTATTTCAATTGTTTTAATATTGATTAAAACTATAGTTTGATATATAATACAATATTATCTCAATATACCATTATTATTTTTTAATAGAGATTAATTAACTGCTTAAAGTGGTTTATTTAGTGGTTATCTTATCATTTTGTAATTTGTATGTCATTTAACAATATCTATCATACTATCATTGAATCTTATGTATCAGTAGGTCCATATAACACAAGACTACATGATTGTGCATGTATAGAGTTAGGTCCAGTACCTGGTTTCATTAAATTATTAAGGTGATTGTGCATAATATTGATATATAAAGTTTAAAGAGGATATATATATATATATATATATACATATACATATACAATAGTCACTAATAATAACAAGTAGTAAATTAATTCTAATATTGTGTGGTTCAATGTTAAGATTTACACATAATCTAATAAGCAAAAATGTTATGGATTGGTAATAAACTTGATATCTTTAATGTACAAATATTAATTTTTCAAACATAATGGCCAAAATCTCATTGATTAATAAACCTTGCCATTCTTGATGAAAATTTGAACATGAAAATTTGTGCCAACTAAATAATAATCAAATAAATTTTGTTTAAAGTATTTTATAAATAGTAAGTAAAGACAATAAATAATAAAAAATTATCACAAAGAGAATAATTAAATGTGTTTAAAAAAATAAATAAAAAATAAAAGGTGCATTTCTATGGACTAAATTTCTAAATGTATGATAAAATATAATCTATTTTATGGTCAAATTGTGATAAATAAAATTCATTTTTGATTTGTATACATAGGATATTTAAATTTACAAAAACAAGAAAGTAATTATAAAAATAAATTAAATGTGATCATTTTTAAAAGGAATTTAATGCATTAATATTTATTACAAGTACCATAGTATGTTAAGGACATAAATCACAAAGAATCAAAATGTCAATATATTTTTGAGTCACTCAAAAAGAATAGATAATTACTCAATAATGATATAATATTAAGAGTAAAATGTCTATTGCCAAAGACAAGAAGTTTAAAGATTCTCAAAATAAGACTAAAAATAAGAAAGACATTGAAAAAAGTAAATAAGGCCTCATTCTTGTTCCCATATATACTATCTAACAATAAGTTATTTGGCAATATTCTATAGAACATTCAACATGTGTCCAACTTACTTTTTACATGTGCGCCACATGGCCAACTTATACCATTGTCACCAACATGTGTGACACATGGCTAACTTATTAGCCAAGTTTTTAACATATCAATTTTTTTACAAACACGTAAAAAATCAAATCTAAGAAGCTTCTTCACAAGATATTATTAAATTTATTTACTTCTACTTACTTCTACACAATTTCTTCAATCTAAATAAATATGTACATTTGTGACATAGTAATAACAAAAATAAAGAGTATAATAATGCATTGTTGAAGAATTGTAGTTGACATGTAATATAATATAAATAAAATGTTGGAAAATATTACTTTTTTAACTTTAAAGATAGTGTGTTACATGACAATTTTTGTTTTTAATGATATAAAAATAACATAAGTTTTCACTCATAAAATAGAAACATGAAATTTTGAATGTCTATACTTACAATATTTTACAATAATATACAATAAAAGAACCATAAACACAAAGCATTGATAAATGTTAAATGAACTTTTAATAGATTCAAAAAAACATAAAAATAAAAAAGAAGATAATATTTGCAAATAATAGTAAAAGAATAAAAAACAATAAAAAACAAGATAATATTTGAATATATAGAAAAAGAATTTTTTAAGTTTATAAGTTTCAAACTCATACAAATTTAAAATAATAAGTTCTAAAATTATATCACATTATTAAAGATAATTATCTTTATATAACCAAATAATTTTAAAAATGTCAAAAGTTGTTTTTCTAGTATTTTGACTTACAAATTATAAATAATTTGTCAAGTTTGTACAAAAGCAATTTATTGATTAGAATAACTTTAGAATCATCAAGTACATTATTTAGCTTACAAACAACATAACTCACAATTGCATCATTTAATTCAATGAAAGAAAAAAATTGATGTATTTATTTATTTTAGAAATATTTTGAAGAATCCAATCAAGTTTAAACATCCTCTTATTTCTTAAAGTTGCGTCTATCCATTCAATTCACTTGTTGTTTTTATGTTTGTAATTGATGCAATATGCATATTTGTATAATAGAATCTACTAAAGTAGCCTTATTATCTATAACTTGGAATTGATATTTATCATAAAAATATTTTTGAACTAGTAAATGATTAAACATATGTACTCTACTCATATTTTTTTGATAATTTTTTTTTTGATAATTTTTTTGATAATCAATTAGCAATAATGGGAAGTAGAAAAGGTGTCCACCATCCAATAGATCTAATTACTTGTAGTTCTTATGTTTGCAAATGTTATACAATATATCTACAATGCCAATTTTTCTGACACAAACCTTGTTTTAAATTATTTGCAATGAACTCATGTTGTATATCTTTAAAAAAATAATCAAGCAGGGCTTCTTTTTTCTGTTTCTGTTTGTGATTTTGTTTTGTTTTTTGTTTTTTTGTTTTTTTTTCTTGCAAAATTATATATATATATATATATATCATTTTGAAGGAAATTCCAACCATCAGAAAATAAATATTTGTTGATTGAAAAAGATAGGTAACATTGTATGATAGATGCTACTATTTTAAATTTATTTTGAATTTGATTAAAAAATAGACAGGTGTAAAATTTCCAGGAATGAAAATAAATATATAAAAGTGTTGATCGAATTAATTGAAATATTTATTATCCTCTGGAAAAATAAACATATTGGCATTGAAGAGAAATTGCAAGCATAGAAAAAACAAAACACATCTCTTAATATTCAATCTTCAATGGTTTGCCTTTACATGACAAGAAATGAATCTGCTTGTGTTAGATGGCAGTTGTTTCAATTATTATCCCAATCTTTATTTTTCTCTCAGATATTTTGTATAAAAATAGAGTGTAAAAACATTGCTTCAATAACAACTTTAAGGTAGAAAAATTCATGTACTAATCATCATAATAACATTGTGGAATTTTTTATGTGGTATTAATTTGTTCATGTTATTAAAGCCACAATTGATAACCTTCAATGATTAATATTTCATTTGGAATAAGTAAATTGGGACTATTTTGCACAATTATACACATCAGTTTTTTAGTGTTAATTTTCAAATTCACATAATGTTTTAATAAGAAATTGTTAATCCATTTCTTTCTCAATATGTATTAAATGCTTTTTTAGTTCACCATTCTTTGGCTGAAGGTATTCTTGATGAGATTTTGCACATATGTGTGTATATATATATATATATATATATATATTCTGGAGCTATATATTAATATTCATATCTTCTACTAATTTGACACTTGATATATACTGTGAACAATCTCCTTCGAAAACATAAGCCAATTGTGAGATATCATATAAGTGTCTTGTTCTGTTCTAAATGACCATTTCAGATTAATACTGGAAATAAATGTGGTGTACATATATATTTTTACTTTAATGTATACACATACATGTTATTAAATTAGAATTCAATAATACATTCTCGAAATGTATTTGTTTATACAAAACGTCTGAAATAAACTATAAAAATCAAAATGGTTGGGTGATTTTTCCGAACCCAACAATCTCAGTCAAGATTATGTATACACATCCAAAAAAACGTATGAGAAATGTAAAGAAATTTTTGGAATGAGATTAAAATAATATGCATTTGATAAAATCTTTTAGTAATATATTTTCTTACATAAAATGTCATGTAGTTTCAAAATATTTTAGTCATGTCATATAGAAAAACTTTTTGTTAAGTGTAAAAATGCATAGAGTGAAATATGACTGTATAAAGTATGATAACATTATTTTTTTTTTTTTTCAAAATCACTCAAATCGCTTTCCATTAAGTTCACAACAATTTAAGATCAAACAATCAAGAATAAAACGCACTGCTCCCAGACAACCAAATCCACGACCTTAACAATTAAAAATCAAGGTCCCGTTTTTAGAATCGCATTCTAATGCATTACTTATAAACAAAACTATGCCTTCAAGGTCAAGTCCAACACAACTGCATGCAGTGTAGAGAGTGATTCCCCAATCCAACTCTAATCACAGGTATCATCTCAACATAATCTCTTCTTGGGCGTCTTAGTTGGCCTGGGTACAAGTTCTCTCAGTCCTAACACTAGAAGGAGCTCTTCCTACTTGACAAATGGACTTCCTCATGTGAGGAATTGGAATTCATACAACTTGTGGGCACTAAAAGAAAATTCAAAAACCAGGGGAATACCGACAGCTTGCAGTTTCCTATCATAAATTATCGTTACATCATGGTTCTTCACGAGTTCTGTCGGATTAATATTGTTGTGCTTTCTACAAGGTTCCGTTAGCCCTGGATACAGACCCAACACAAGCACAGTCGTTTCAACTCACTACACACCTGGTGTCACAACACTGGCCCTTGGCTGCTGTTTTTACTAAACTGCTAACACATACTTCACACAACATCAATCCAGCAAAAGAATTCATCGCTCCTACTGTTGTAAAAGAAGCAGATTATGCTACCAATATGAGATGATAACCATATAATTAGTGCCACAAACTGAAAGCATGTAGAGTGACTGGCGCTTAATGTTTTCCGTCCGGGGCAGGATCATAGCGGGACAATTTACGTGGTAAACAAAATCCGTCCACTATGCCAAGCCTTCAGTCGTCGGTCAAGGAGAATAACTATCACTTCAGACATACCAGACTCGGAGCACTGGACTTCTTCATCACAAATGATTACGAACTAAGAATATGAATCGAGTCGACTAAGGCCAGGAACCAACACCTATGAGCGTAGTACGAAGAAAAATCGCACTCCTTACAAATGTTACCACATGGCATTATCTCAGAAACCTGGGCATGACTGTATAATACCGAGACTGCTCGATAAAACTAAGCAAAAAAAACAATGATTCCGACTGCAGAGCTCAGCATTCACATCATCTGATATAGCTGTGATATGTATGAACAATCTTCACACGAACTCCGGCAAGATAGCCAAAAAGTGCCTAAAGATGGCTAAACACACGTTCATAACCACTCCGTCGAATGAGAAAAGGTCATCCAGAATGGCAAACTCTTCAGCGAAAATTCTTCCGTAGCAAGTTTACATGACTGATCGTGAATGTATCACCTACCAGAAAGCCGATCCTGACAAACTACGCCTGCAAAACGACCAGATGCGCTCATGCTTCCATCGAAATGTAAAATAACTAATCCACAATGTTGCAAGTCTGTCCACAAACTTTCCGAACCAAGCCCATTCCTGAGCAAATGTTACGATGATGAAACAACTATGCTAGTACAATCGACGCACAATACCCAACTGAACACGACACGTTGCAAGGTGACCAGTAAAGATCCCGAGGTCACCCTACTTCATCGTTCCAAATCTCGCCATGCCCGTGAGAATCTCCATTGTGCGAAATAAATATGCCAATACATTCTTGACCACCCCGCCCGAGAAGCGCAAAAACGTTCGTCATCTTCCGCACCTCACACCGTACCTTGCCTAAACGAAGACCAGCCATTACACCATTCGTCTCTCTTGGAACTAACGAATAAACATCGATTTAGCCGTCGCACCATTCGAATGTAACTGTCATTTGTGCGCAAACAACCCCAACAAGTACGCCGTAATTTCACGTTGAGCCCATCATTTCACTTGACAGGGATACACACACTGCACGTACGAGGGTCCAAAAGTCACCATTGTTCCTACCTCTTTGGCCCATCCTCGAAAGTGATGCACAGCTACGAGGCAACAATCACCTGACCTGATGTATCCTGAAATGCATCAGTAGAACGCAACAATCTTCAAACTGCGATTTCCAGCAGACGATCACTACTAACGCCTAAAAATTCTCACGAATGTTTTTGTATTTTAATCATCTGAAGGGGGCAAAACAATAATATTGAAACAAATCATAGTGAAAAAATAATAGAACACTTTGCAGATGTTTTCAGTCTAGCACAAAGCGGCCTTGAAACTGAAAATACAACTGCAAATGGTTCATCAGCAAAGTTGTTAACTCCCATAAAGAGTCTTGCTAGTCAACGAACACCTCAAATATAGTCGACAACCTCAGGGATTCGTGATAAGAAAACCCACTTTGAAGACTGCCTACTGCGTACGGACAACGGGGCGCGACTCAATGTATGCCCACACCGCACTAAAGAAATAACTCACACAACAAAAATGGCGAATAAAACGATCGCTCAACTTTGCTTACCTGACAATCATCATACGATCCCTTTTTATCGACGACCAACACCGCCGCCGCCTCTTGATCGACTGTTGTAATCGTCCCCACGATCGCGTCCACCTCCAACTCTGTAAGGATCATCCCGAACAGGACCTCGAGGTCCTGGATGCCGAGCAAAGGTGAGCCGCAAAACATAAGATTCGTGATCGGTTTCATCAAATTTATATCCTGCAAAAACAAAACAAAATAAAACCGTTTCATCTCGCCCACTCTCAACCATGCCAAGCAAGATATTCCACTCCATTCCACACAACATAAGCACAAGCTAAAGAAATCTAAATATAAAAAAGTTTCCATCAAGAAAACAAAAGAAGTACTCACAATCCCATGCTCCCACCGACTAAGATACATTTCCCCTCAAATAAAAACTGTGTTCAAGAAAATACTCTTCAAAAAACAAAAAAAATACAAACACAATATCCACAACATTATACTCTTACCTTGCAATGCTTCTAGAGCAGTTGCTGCGCATCTTGCGTCTGCGAACTCCACAAAGCACAATACTACCTTGCCTCCATCCGCCTGTATCACCACGCCACACCTCATGACTTACACCGAACAATCCCTCCCACATCACTTCTCCACCAACTCATGCATCACTACACTTCTCCAACAACTGCTGCAAACACCTGGTTCATTACCAACTCACCCGCTTTGCATCCTTGTGAACCAACCGCACTTCCTTAAATCCAATAAATGGTCGAAAGATGTCTGCACCACCAGGTTAAGGACCCGACCACACATCTCCGCCTCTCCGACCTCCTGACCAAACTAACACGACCTCCTTCCTCATTACATGCCTCCTCCCACATTCCACACCTAACACGACACGCATACCTGACTCCTCTCTGCATACACAAATCCGATCCTACTCGCTTTACAGGAACCACATGGGAACCCTTGCAACTCCCACGGACCCAGAACTTTCTCTGTCACAGGATACGTGCAGCTTCTCTGCGGGAGCAGTCCTCGGGTAGCCCGTCCACAAACAGCGTCGACGATGCATCCGGTGGCAGCACATCCAAGCCCCCACGTAACACATCCGGCTCCGGAGCGCCACCGTTCAGCCCCAGTGCGCCAGGTCGCCCACCCATGCCCACGTCCAAGGGTCCCATGCGCCCTCCCATCAGCTGAGATTCATCGGGAAGACCTCCCATCCCGAGCGGCCCCAGACCCCCTCCGCCAACCAGCGGTCCAAGACCCGGACCCATTCCCAGCTCGTTGCCGCCCAGACCTCCTCCATAGCCCATCTATATCCGCCCACAAACCTCCAGTCAGATTATCCTTCCCACACCCACACGTCAAAATCGACCCAACTCCCGATGCTGATTCCGAGAACCCTCATCCACGACCCGGTCCGTCCACCACGGATCCATGTCGTGCAAATGCTCCTCACACTCCAAGCCTCGTCCCGTCATCCTGCCTACCATACATCACAGCTACTCCTTGCGTCCCGATGTCTTACCATGTCCCCACCGCCGCCCAAACCGTCTCCATCTCTCCACCCGGCGCGCCCCATTTGGTCCTCGTAAACTCTGTCACGAGGATAGCCAACGTCGCGATCTCTACCTGCACCGTAACCCGTTCTTGGAAGCCCGTCTTCTGTGTCAAGGACAAACGACAAACACCTCCCATCAGCACCAACCCCCGTGTTCTCAACGCATTCTCCCAAAACCTCTGCTCTGCACTCACAAACGTCGCACGCCCCTTAATCCGCACCCTCGTGTTCCAAGCTCAACCGTCTGACAACACCACCACACGTGCATGTGGGATGCCTGGACAGAACCCCACAACCCCAACCACGAACAACGCCCACAGCTACAAAGCTGCAGAATCGACCACTCCACTCGCCCTCGCCCATGACTTCACCACCACGACCCTCATCATATCAAGCCCATTGCTGAGCGACGACCGTTTGCAACGTCAACGCCTTTTTACGACACCTCCCCTGTCTTCACGACACCCGAACACGCATCCTCATCGTGAAAGTGGTCACGCAATTGCTCGAGGTAGGTGCTCCACAGCACCTTCCAGTTTGGACCTTGAGCTTCCTCGGACTCGTACCAAACATCCCCGACCATGCCTCATGCCCGATGCACACGGCATTCCTACATGTACACCACAATCGTCCAAAGCAAACCATGTCAACGTCGCAAACATCCACCGTAAACCCACGTCAAGAGTCACTAACCGTAATCTCGACGAGTGCGCTTGGTCGGAGTGGATCCTGCACGCCTACCATCCGTTGCCGCGCCGTAGCGCCAATTGCCCCCGTAGTCCCCCATCGCTGGACCGTCTAGCCCTGCCCGCCACAACCCCCTCCCGTTCAAATATCTTCCCTCTCGTTCTTAATCTACTCCACCCCAACCAATCACGGCTCTCGCGCGCCTTCTCGTGCTGTCATTCCCTACTCCACAATTATCTCTCCCTCTCTAACATGCTGTCTCGCAAAACATGCATTCAAGCAATCGCTTCGACGTCAACGAAACCACCAAACTACCAAAACTGGCCCCGGAAAACTTTGCCTCCTTCAACTGGCACTGTGCAAACCTAACAATCAATGATCCTCCTGCTGAGGATTGTAGCGAAGCGATGGAGCGTTCGCACAGGTAAAGAAAAAGAATCAGCATTAGCGTCACAAGGATGCCATAAACCATCGCGTCTGTAACAACCCATACTCGCCACCCGCTCCCCACCGCGATAATCATGCCCTTCCCAAACCCTAACTTTTCCTTAAAAAAACCACTCCGCCTTATCTTACTTACGCACAACCTGACTAATTCTGCCGGAACCAGTAGAGTTTCGGAGGAACAGGATGAGAGGAAAGTCATGAGCACGTACTCAGCTGCTGCTGGCCCCCGTTTATAAAAGGGTACATGTGCGTTAGTAGTATGGTAACGACGCGCTTTCACTGTTTGTGGTGGCTCGCTTGTTCAATTCGCTCAACTCCGAAAATGTTGCGCCAACTTGTCGGAATAAGTGTGTTTGTGTGGGGGTGTGTTTGTGTGTGTCCGGCACGCCAAATGCCAAGCTTTGTGTGAGGAGGGAATAGGGGCGCAATCAGACAGACGTGAGGGAGGAGTGTGGAGAGTGCGAGGAGGAGGAGGAGAGAGCGAGCGAGAGAGAGAAAGTGAAGAAGGAAGGAAGGGTGTGCTGGGGGTGGGCAGGGATGCCCAGAGTTTTATATAATAATAATAATAAAATTGTGAAGGGTTACCAGATTTGAAGGGCGTGCTCGGGGAGTGAGTGTGTGTCGAGATGGTCTTCTTGTGTGTGTACTTACAAACGGCACCAAAGAAGCCTCCACCCAGCACGGGTGCTGCCCCAGCCCGGCCCGGGGGGGTGCCTGCCAGCCGGGGTGGGGGGCTGGGGTTTCCAATTCCACCAAATGTGGGGCTTCGCCTGGTCGTCTTCTGCGATGGGAGTTCGTGAAGTGGGTGTGATGCTCTCCTCCCCCCCCCCACACCCCAACTCCTCCCTTTCATTGTAACTCTGGCGTTGACTTCTCCTACTCCTCCTCCTCTTCTCGCATTCACACCCCCGTTTTGGTTGGTCTGGGCTGGGGCTGGGCTGAGCTGCGCCGCGCCTGCTCTGCTGGAAATGTGTGAACCCTCCTCCAATCTTTTATCCCCACTCATTCTGTGGGGTCTTCGCCTTTGCATTCTCAATTGTCCCTTCAAGTCTGTTTAACACTGAAATATTAATCCTACATGAAAATGAAAAGCCTGCACGGCCATTTGTATCAGGTGGAATTTTATTCCACGCAAGCCTGTATTTGGGGAAGTGTTCACATTCATCGTTTTTATTATTTTATATTACATACTATTCATTTATTTACTTCTGATATATTTTCAAACTTTACTTACTTTACATCTTATTTTTCTTTTCTTTACTATATATTTTTCATTAACATAAGTTTGCAGCAAAGGATATATTATAACCGACGTATACTTCTTCATTCTGTATTGAGACAAAAATGTGATGTCGGCTTGCAGTTTCGATGGTGAGGTTACATTTGGCCTTTAAGTAGTCTAGAATTTACAGTTGTGCTTTGTTTCACCAAAATTGGTCGCTTATAAATACGGCCAGGTGTTTAGAGTCAGAGCTATTAGATGTATATAAACAATTTTAAATTAAAAAATATAGAATCACAACATACACCATGTTCCTTAAAGTTACACAAACATATAACATTAATACTACTGAAGAACAAAACATAATGATTAAAAAAAAATACACAGATCCAATTAAAAAAGAAAAACAATACACACAATAATGAAAAAGGGGACACATGTTATTACACAAATATAGTCCAGAAGAAAAATAAAATAAAACTACATGAACACTATGGTTTTTGTTTATGACTCCTTTTTAAAGAACATAATATTGAAAATAACTTCTGGATTATTGAAAGACTTAATTAAATTTTCAGAACCTTCTAATTACCTCTTTAAATTAAATTAAATTAGAAGCATGCAAAGAAGATTTTTTTACAAAAGCTAGTCTGGAAAGCTTGGTGCAAGAGTTTGGAATAATAGATACTACAAATGTAGAACAAAATATTTCAATGTTCCAATTAGAATTTGTAGAAGGAAGGTTTTTGCCATCTTGTGAGTTCTTCTTTTATGGTTATTATCATATTATTTAATATGCTGTTGATATGACTTCTTGGTCATCTTTGATATATATATATATATATATATATATATATATAGCAAGAGTTTTTTTCTTTATTTTAATACTTTGATGTTTTATAGATTGTTATATTTGATAAAAGTATAAATTTAAAAATAATAAAATTAGAGGAATTCTGTTTTTGATACTTTGATGTTTTCGATATAATATAAGAAAAAACATGTGAAAAGAGCAACACATATTTTTACAATGTGAAAGAAAAATATTGTAATAATAATTCTGATATAAAATTAGGTATCATGATGTACTTAAACATTTTCATAATGTACTTAAACGTTTTAAATGCTGAAGCATTTTGTTGTAAATGATATCGTGCATTAAAGAATGCAATGTATGACTTATTATGAGAAAAGACATCCGTTTCTAAATTTAGCAAAACATACTTTATTTTATTTTATTTTTTACTTTATTGTAATTGCATAAGCCACACTTTTTTCCCATCAACACCTTAGCTTCAATGTCTCAATTGATGAAACATTTGGCAATTAGCCAGATTCCATTATAAAGACAATTTTTTGGGTTGAGATTGTGCAGAAGCATCACAAGTGTGCCAACTTTTAACATGAGCTTAGGAAGTAGCTACTTACTTACTTGTAATGTGTTCATGTATTTCATTTTAACCATCTCTGAGACTTCTAGATAGCCCATCTTGTATGTGCTTAAAAACTGATTTTCTTCTAATGTAGCTTATAATATTGCTTTATTAATCAATGCAACTTCATCATTGCCGGTGGTAAAAATAACTTATTCGGCAAAAAAAAAATCCTTGCCTCTAAGATTAGTTTGCATCATAGGATATGTCTTATCAATTAAGTCTAAGACATTTCCCTGACCTAAGAGCATGCTTGGTGGGCAATCAACATGATCTTCTTCAATAGCCATGAATTGTTTTTCAACAAGAGCAAGAAGCAAATTGGCAAACATTTTATCTCCAAATTTGGAAAAGATAGCATATGCAGTGATTGCACATATTTTCCACATACAAAGAATGTGAAAATACCTCCAAATGTCGGACTCTTTATTAAAGATGGTATAAACTTTGGTCTAATCCCATTTAGAATCATTAAATGCCTTGTCTTAAATCACTTCACATGATAAAAATAGCGTCTCCAAGTGAGTCTTTTTTTTTAATTAAAGCTTGAAGCATTCTGTCAACCATTTTAAATGAAGACTTAGTCATCATTGGAGCTCTGTCCCAAAGGATTATTGTTGGTCACTGTAAATATTTTACCAAATCTAATTGCCTTTAAGGATTGCAAATCAATATGCAATCCAGTTTAATTGGGATTTAAAATCTAGAATGTGACATTCTATCCTGTTGTAGTCGTAGATTAGTGAGTTTGAAATATGCAACTTCATAGGCGATTTCATCATTTGCATGCAAAATTTTCTAAAGAAGATTTTTTAAGTAAGTTTTTTGAGTTCTTCCAGGGACATTGACAAAAAAATAATAAATAAATAAATAAATAAACCTGGCCTTGCACTTAATTTTTTTGAAAAAGATAGTAAAAAAATTAAAATTAATCTAATTATTAGTAAATATGATTTCATTTTATGTTTTTATATTTGATACTTAAAGTGGATTACATGAGTTTTGTTGATGCATAATATGCACCATAAGATTTGGAACTTAAATTTAACCAAGATTTACCACAAGAACATTAAAGTTTTTAGTATTAACTACTTAAATAAATAAATAAAAAATTAATAAAATTATGTTGAATGGATGATGTTGTAATGATTTTATTTTTTATTTTAAAAATATTTTAAAGCTTAAATATTATTATTAGATCATATGTAACTAAAAACTTAATACATCATTATGAATTTGTTTTAATCCCATCAAGAGAATATAAATTATTTAAATAAAATTTTAATGTGTTATTTATTCAAAATATCTTGCTTCATAAATAAAATGTAAGTTTTATAAGTTTCTTTGTATATTAATGAACTTCAACACTAAAATAATAGTACTAATTCAAGTCATCTTGTATCAAGGACATAAATGACAAACAACCAAAACATCAATATATTCTTGTATCAGTAGAAAAGAATAGATATTCATTCAAAGATAATATAATACTACAACTTCAATGACTATTGCCAAAAATAAGAAGTTTAGAGAGTCTTTAAATAAGAATAATAACAAGAAAGACATTTAAATGAGTAAAAAAGACCTTTATTCATGTGTTGGAGGTCCTATAAGATGAGGTCCTATAAGATGATGTCATAGTATATATAAAGACAATAATATTAGTTATGCCTATGATATTATATTTTTTTTAATGATAAGTTCCACAAGGAAGAGTGCTTACATGTTGAAAATGTCTAAGATGCAAATAATTATATAAGCCATATACTTTGATCTTTGATTTTTTCAAAGATAGTTGATAGGCCTTTTAACCACTAATAATGTCCTTTAAAATAGTAATAACATTACATTTTTATTTTATTATTGTTGATGCCTTAGTAACTTTTTTCAAATAAAATATTTGAAATTTTATCAAAAATTATTTCTATTTCTAAAAAACCAAAAATTAAAAATTTCTTTTAAGGTTGTAATATCAAATATTATCATACTATGTGAAGTCTTGTTTGAAAATGGACCTCACACTTGGTTGTAGAAAATAAATAAAAAATTACAACAATAAGATTTTAACAACTCTAATAGAATCCTAAATAAATTCTAATAAAACCTTAATAATTATCATCAAATCTTAATCAAATCTAAAAGAAGTCTTAAAGAAATTATAAAAGAAGTATAAAAAAATTATAGAATTATAAAAAAATTATAGAATTATAAAAAATTATAGAATTATAAAAATTTATAATTAAATTTATAAAAATCCTAAATAAATATCAACTAAACTCAAATATAATCCTAAAAAAATCCAAATAATATTTTTAATAAATCTCAATAAAATCTTAAATACTAAATCAAATCCTACTAGAATCTTAATTAAATTTTAACTCTTAATCTAAGCATAATGAAATCCTAAATCCTAAATGAATCCTCATTGAATCCTATAATAATTTAAAATCTACATAATTAATAATTTAACCATAAAATTCAACTAAAAATTTATACACCTTTTAAATACTCAGTTGAAAATAAGCTCAATTTTTTTGAAAAATATTAAACTTATTAAATAGAAGATTGATTCTAAAATTTGTTAAGGTAATAGGAGGCTTACTTTTCTAACCTTGATGCCAATCTTATAACACTAATCTTTCTTGATTTCACTATTTCATTTCTTTCAAAGTTTTTATAATTTTTATAATTCAAGTGTGCTACTAGTGTGCAAAATTTTATTTTAATTCAATGCCTAGATCCTTGAAAATCTAAAAAACTTTTATTGATCCTTCAAATATTAATTTCTAAGATTCTAATATTCTTGAATTTCAATGAGATTAAAATAAATTTTTCAATCAAGCTTAACCTTATGACACACATTTAAGATAACTATGTTCAAAAAATCACAAA